CGACTCGGTGTTCCAGTACCAGAACCTGAATGAACACCCGGTATTTGATTTCGAAGGCACAGATTCTAGGCTGCATTGGTTTCAGAATCCTGATTCGGTACCGGCTATCTTGACTGTGGTGGCCTATCCGCTTGAGGATGGACTCAGGATTGTGGTTAGGGGTAATGAGCATATGATTACGCCTGAGGGTGCGGAGTTGATTAATAAATCGCTATGTGAGATGGTTGGGAAAGTGTCTACTTCGCTGCATGCGGTGTAAAAAGATTGGGAAAGGACGGGGATGATGCAAGGGTTAATTAAAAGCCACTTGGGTGGAACACTTGTCATGACTGGAGATTGGGGTGAGATAGTCTCTAGATAGTAGCTACTAGGTTTTCTGATTGTCCTTCAGGAGACCGGCTTCGAGGGCGGATTTGGCGTACCGAGGATAGATCTCTTTACTACACAAAATTATTATAGATAAAGACATTGTGTGCGATATGGTACAGTCCGTCATTTGATGACATTCATTTTTGAATACGCGAATTTTGTTGGAACTTACGGTGAAAACTCCCGGCTGACATGATGGTCGCAGCATTTATGACATCACGAGCTGCTACTCTTTCGGCACGCTTACATAGCCACATAGGTGTTGTGAGCCTTTCAACCCATTTTCCAATATGAAACACTCAGTCTCCACCAAAGCCTTGCCTTGAGCTTCGTTCTCGTCAATTGTAGATTTAGCCATATGTTAGGTCGGTATACCGTCTTGTTGCTGAGATCTCAGTGGTTGCGCTTACTATCATACATAAAAATTATCCTTGAGCCATTGAGCTACTCCTGGTACTGCTTGCTGGGAAACATATATTTCACAGTTAGGATATTTAATTTTATTAATACAAACCCAGAGAACAATGACTGTTAGTGCTATCTCTTGTCTATTCAATGATTGTTAATGATTTTACCACTCCGTGTGGAGCTTGCGCGATGATCCTGGCTCGTGCATAGGGCTGGCCCGATTCTCGCAGCATGCATCCTACGTACCTGCAGCTCGATCTTTATTCACACACACGCATACCATCTGATCAACGACCTAAACCGCTCGCTGCCTTGTTGTCGCATTCCCTATACGATACTCATATTCATATCAGACTGCGGAAATACTCCGTTGACGTTCTTAACTGCGCGCATTAGGCCGCGCAGCGCAACAAATGCCCGCTCCCGCGTCGAACAAACGCGTCAAGGTAAGCAACTTGCGCGTTGCTCCAAAAGCTATATAATGACCCCGAACAGAACAAGCGGATAAGTAGAAATCTCAGTAAGCTACGGACCAACCCAAACATAGAATTACACACTCACAGTCTCAGTAATCGGCTCAGAAGCCTGGCAATTACCCCCAGTGGGACACCCCGATCGTCCCAAGAATGTCCCCGACGACCACACGAAGCGTTGGACCGTCTATGTACGAGTTCCCGATGGCGACCCCGATATACGAGCGTGGCTCAACAAGGTCTCGTTCAAGATCTTCAACACGTACGAAAACCCACTGCGCATGGTCGAAAAACCGCCGTTCGAGGTGACCGAGACGGGATGGGGAGGCTTCAACATCGACATAAGATTGCATTTCCAGCCTATATCAGGAGAGAAGGCACAATACAGACAGCACTTTTTGCAACTGGAGAAGTATGGTGATGAGAAGATGCAAGCAGAGCAGGAACGGACAGGCTGCGTGCGTTCAGAGTTCCTCGAAGTTGTGCAGTTCAACGAGCCTACCGAAGCGCTCTTTGATGCCCTCACCTCGGACGACCAGTGGAACTATCTCATACCGCCTGGCAAGGGTGGCTCTAAGAAAGCATCTCTTGGTGCGAATGGAAGACTAAAGCGTGGGCTACCGAACGGAGAGAGAAGTGCACAACTGCCAGAAAAGGGCGCAGAAGATGTGCCTTTTAGCCAGGAACAAGAACAGGCCCTGCTGAATGACCTCAAGGCAAAGATAGCTGAGGTGGAAAAGCAACTGGATAAAGAAGCAAAGAAGAAGGAAGAAGTCGAGGCTAAGCTCGGGGGATTACGGAACGAGTTGGGACACGAAGCTGCTCAGCAAGCAGCGCAACAAGCCAGTGGAGACCGCAGCCGACGGAGATGATAGCAAAAGACATGAGCAAAGAAAAAAGGACATCCAGTCTTGGTCGACGACAATCGTCAAAGATGCACGCATATCAGTGGCCACAAGCCGGATGGCATACCTGACAATGGTGTGAGATTTGGAACATATCGAAGGTGAAGCACAATAAGACAAAAGATGGAGAAACGTCCATGCCGTAGTCACAAGTCATTGTCGGGGTCTTGCATTGGAGGTACTGCATTATTGTCTAGATTTGGGCTTGCAGCTGCATGTAAGACATGGAGCTATAGGTGTGTTGTAGGAGATAACCAGCCAGGCATTGACATTTACCCGGCAGTCTTGACGGACAAAGTAGTACGGGATAGATGATGTGTTGGAAATCAAATCTTGAGCATCCAATTGCTTGTAAGCACATGTGCATGAGGCTGGAGTAGGACCTGCAATACACAGCTGTATATTACATCATCCTAGTGTATGTGCTATCTGCTGACCGTGGCTGTCCAATCACACGTCAAGGAGACCGATAGAAGCCCGAAGAACATGTGTAATAAGACCAGCAGTTTCCGCTCGACTTTTTACATAGCTTTCGCACCTGAGCTAATGTTTATGTGCTCCCACTTCATATTCGGGGTTAGAACAGACCAAGCTTGTAACTAATACCGAACTGCTTACATAGACAACTGGTGCTGACATTACAGCTAGAGGTTGTGTTTGACACCTCACGTTGTAAACCATAAGTTGATTTGTAAATTTTGCGGGCTCCAGTCCACTTTTGGAAATTATTCCTTGCCTCAAACATACGCACGTACGGTAGCGGACAAGCGACGTCATGGATTCCTAAGCAATGCCCCTCGTAAAACGGCGGCTTTCCACATCCATGTAGACGCATATAACCCCTCTTCAACGCGCTGTGTTTAGCCTTTTCTCATGTCACTATTACGCCAGCGCTTCCCTTCACAATTCAGACATACACTTCGCGCTTCCTCACGTGTACAGCGACCGCAATTCACTACTATATCGCATTTCCACACCTCGAGGCCGTTCCAGAGTATACTACCGGATATGGCGGACGACCAACCCAAGGGACTAATCGCAAACAAGGGCATTGAGTTGCTCACTTGGGTATGGTCATACCATTACTACAAGCATGGCCTCACTGCTAACCAATTGCAGGGCACACCCAATGGCTGGAAAGCTAGCATTCTGCTTGAAGAGCTCAAAGAGGCATACGGCAAGGAATACACCTGGCAGGGCATCAACATCAGCAAGAACACACAAAAGGAGCCTTGGTTCACTAAGCTAGGTCCCAACGGCCGAATCCCAGTTATTGTGGACCATGACCAAGGTGGTTTTGCTGTACAAGAGGGCCTTGGTAAGTATCTGCTAGGCGAATACGACAGATACGGAGCGTATGAATAGGATGCTAATGACCTGGGTTAGCCATCCTTACATATCTGACGCGCCACTACGATCCTGAGTACAAGTTTAGCTTCAGCGACCCGCTCGACGTCTCGCGCGCAGAGCAATGGATGGCGTGGCAGCACGGCGGCCTTGGTCCGATGCAAGGCCAGGCCAACCACTTCAACCGCTTTGCCAAAGAGCGCATCCCGTACGCTATGCAGCGCTACACGGGCGAGACGGAACGCCTGTTGGGTATCCTCGACTCGCACCTGGCCAACACAGACTTCCTAGTAGGCAACAAGTTCAGCATTGCCGACATTGCCAGCTTCGGTTGGTGCCATATGGCGCGCTTCTCAGGCATCGACCTTGAAGTGTTCCCCAACTTGAAGAAATGGCTGGACAAGATACTTGCCCGGCCGGCGGTGCAGAAGGGCCTTGCAATCCCGTCTAAGAGCACATTCGGCAACGATGCGTACTTGCAGAGGTTGAAGGATGACAAGGAGTTTGCAGAGAAGGAGCAGCAACTTCAGGAACAGATCAAGGCTGCCAAGGAGCAGTATGGATACAAGTACTCCAGCCCTTGAGGACGCCGCAGCTAGCTAAAAATCAATAATCAAAGCCCTTGTCAATTTGACTATGATCCAGGAAGGGTGTGGCCCAGAAATAGCTCACAGTGCACGTGCAGCAAAAGTGCGTTGTCGAATAAAAGATCTTTGGTGTAAGGAGTCTGGATGGTCTAGACATGGAGGTACACGATACGGTACTCTAGGACAAGTCTATCGCACTGCTCCACACAGCTGTCCTAGCTCCTGAAACGAGCAAAAGATCCGAAACTTTACAATTTGTGTTTCAGTCGACGGAATCTCGAGTGTCGACAGCCAATCATGGCGGAAGTTACCCCTGCACTAGACACAGCACCAATCCGACGCCAACGACGTCAGCGATACATTCTCCAAGCGCCATGCCAAAAAAACAGGGTCGTGTGGCCGCACCACCTTGGCCACTGCAACGGCCTGCCAACGAATGATTGTGGGGATGTGTGGCATGCTACGAGGGCCACCTGACAATAGGTTTGCAAGAGAGGAATGATTATCGCGACCGGTGTGACTATTATATCTGTGACTTTGGACGCTGTCACAGTTGTGAGATTGTCTGGCCATCTTTTTCTTCTGTATCAACGATTCCTTCTTTCTTCTTCTTCTCAAACTACCGACTTTGATAGTCGGTACAGCGTTTCCTTCTCCTGAATATCCCGTCAGCCTGTCCAGGATTGCCCTTGCCTGCAAACCTTGTGGGCGCCCATACTTACCCGTCCTCCCACCCACGCCCTGCTGATCATAGCATGGAAATAGCTTAACTCATCGGACCCTGGCAAAAAAAGGGTCCCATAGACAACATCCCACTCCAAGGCAAGCGATAAGCGACGTCATAGCCTGGGCTACCTTGTTTAAACCTTTCTCCTCCCGCCGGCCCCCCACATCTGGTCACAACGTCTCCCGATCACCAATCCTGTTTGACCCTGTGAAGAGCGCGCAAACAGTACTACCAAAAAAACGACGCCGTTGTTGCGCGTAGTTGCGTGAAAGAAAGAAAGAAAGAAAGAGAAACAAAAGGAACAGTAGTGTTCATCACAAAGGAAAACCAGCGGTGTGAATTCATCATTAGAAGTAAAAACGCTATATTCCCCATCGGCCTTTGCCACCTTCACTACACCCCCAGAAGGAGCATCCAACAACCCGCCTTCTCCACCACAACAACCCCAACAAATATAAACCTTCTTCAACCCAATCATCCAAGACTCCCAACAATAACGAAAAGTAAGTCTTGTCCACCTACATCCTACCAGTTGAGCCGTGCTAACATGCTCTACCCAGTCTCATCATATTAAAAAAAATGGCCTTCAAATTCCTCTCAAATAGCACTCTCCGAGGCGAAAAAGCCACCATGGGAACCACCCTGCGCAGCACCTTTACCCCAGCAACGATCCTGCGCCTCGTCCTCCGCCTCTTCCAATTCGTCATGGGTCTCACCGTCATCGGCATGTACGCCGTCGACCTCGACAACGCGCGCAAGCAAGGCAAATACGTCGACTCAAAGTGGGTTTGGGCTACCCTCTGCGGCGCCCTCGGAGCCTTTGTATCCCTCCTATTCATGGTTCCTTTCCTGGGAAGAATGGTGCTGTTGTTTGCGGTGGATGTGGTGGTGTTTATTTGCTACATTGTTGCATTTGGGATTTTCGGGAACATGTATATTGGGGAGGATGCAGAGGGGAACAAGGGCGTGCAGAGGATGAAAAATGGGGTTTGGGTGCTGCTGACGAATGTGGTGCTTTGGTTTATTTCGGCCGTTTTGGGCGCGGGATTGTTTTGGAGGGCGAGGAAGGCAAGGACGACGCATACTGGACGGGCACCGCAGCACGTCTAGGTGTCCCCATTTATCCCTTCTTCTTGCTCCCCGGAAGAGGGAGTAGAGGGAAAGAGGGGATGCGAAGGCTTGACTTGGTTTGACTTTCTGTGCTAACTTTCGTTTTTCTACGGTTAACAGCGCGATCGTGCGTTTCGCATCCGAGATATCGAAGATGCGCCGTTGAGCGATGGAACGAAGACGGTTGCTTGGGGTCCGACAATCGCTTCAACCGAATCGACAACATCAAGATCGTCCTCTGCTACCGATACCTCGACCCTCACTACCACCATCGACACGACGACCCGCGCCCCACCCATCTCTCGCAGTTTTCTCTCAGTCACAGTTCCCATATCCACCACATGCTGCCCCTTTTGCTGCCCAAATAACCACAACAACTCCACCACGCGTCCTCTATCACCGTCCTCGGAATCTTGTTCTACATCTTCTACGAATTCAGATACTGAAGATGCCAGCTCGACGTCTCCGGCCCCGCCTTCGTATCATACTGATCCTATGCCATCTTCCCCTTGAGCACACTGAGCACTATTTGAGAATGTTTTAAATGAAATGCGGGATGAGGAGATACCTATGAGAAGAAGGGGAGGAGGGGGTTGAGTGCTTTGGAAGCAAGTGGCGTTATTGTTAGACTTGAAATACCCCCTGTTTTTTTTGTTAGCTTTTCCTTATCAAACTTGATACCCCCCCTCGTTGTTGTTTTTCACTACCTGCTGCAAGTTATGTGGTGAGTGTTTAGATTGGTAAAGATGTGGGTGTGGAAGAAAGATGCTGGGATGTTGAGCTACACAGAGTCTAGATATTTGCTGTGTAGTATTCTGTACCCCTTTTAAGCCATGTCACACAAAGGTACTAATTACTTACTGTGAATGTCGCAGCTAGAGCAAGTTACACCGCTCTCCACATCTGGTCTAGAAAACAAGTCTTCTTTTTCCTTTGAATAAATGTAATGCCACTGACTTTCGAACCAAGACACACACACACACAGAAGCGAAACACTTGTTCATAAAAAGCTTCGTATTTTTTTATTTTATTTTAATTCTCTAATCCTAGTTTCGCGCAAACAACTTGGCTACATCTTACAATAAACACTCCGACTATCTACGCCTCGAGCGGGGGGTTACTGCGAATGAGAGCTACCGCAACGTCAGGATTGAAGTTTCTGCATGGAACGGCTCGGAGATAAAACATGAATTTACAGGGGGCTGTGGGGAAAAAAAAGAGAAATAAAAAATTGTACTACTACAGGAAAATTGAGTCTATTGCCTTTTTGTCCCTGTTAAAAGTTTGAGTGTTTGGAAAGATGGAAGTGATTTGTGACGGATTGGCGTCGCAATCACTAACAGGGAGCATTTAACCTCATCTTCTCTTGGTATGTAAAGTGTTGTAGAAGAAAGAAAGAAGGAAGGAGGCTATATATATATATATATAAAGAAATAATGTAGCTCCATCACCAAAGCAGAAATGACACAAAATAACTCATAGTTTGTAACTTGAAAGCATAAATCTCATGCCAAGGCAGACCCATGACTAACTACAAGGATAAGAACAGGTTATTCATGTCGTATTGAAAAGGTGAGAGAAATAAATTAAATTCAAAGGACTAGCAATTCGGCGCTCATCGGCCAAGTCTTGCTTCACTGCGTGTAATCTTATTGCATCAAAAGAGCATAAAACTCCAGCGCAACGTACGGTTCAGCGCCACATTCTCTGGTGTTTCTGGAAAATGGATTGACTTCTTGTACGAAAGGGGAGGGGGGTAGAGAGGGCGAGGTTCTTTGTCGAAGTTTCTCATTGTTCGGTATAATTCCCTTAGTCGGTAATGTGAGAATAGTCGAGGAAGTCAATACAATTCACCCTTTTGCGCCAAGCTGATGGTTTGAAGGATTCGACTTTTCAGGTACGTAAACGGGCTCAAATGCTTGTCTTGTTGTTTTGATTCTCCGATGATATGCCCAGCATGCCATTCTGTCCATGTACCAGGGTCCAGTAATGCTCAAGTAATTATTGGTAGAAGATTTGTAACGTTGGAATCGTCCACCTCTGGAATCGGCAATGTCGGACATGGGAATGCTTCTAATCTGCGCAATGTTTGCTTCGAGTTTGTTGTATCCGGAGATTGTTTTTACCCGTGTAGATTCTAGAAGTGTGACAAATAGGAAAAGTTGAGAGAAGGGTGTGAAAAAGACGAGAGATACTTCAAAGGGTTCGTTGGGTGAGGTGAGGTGTAGTTCGGCGTCGAGCAATGTGATTGGTCAAGAGACAAAACTTAGTGCTACTTAGCGCAAGGACTGCAAGATGTTCGCACCCATAGAGGCGATGCAGTCTTATCCAAACAGGCTTGAGTGTAATCTATTCAACTGTTAGTGAGAAGAGTGTCAAGAGCAAATAGCTTGTCTAATCATAAACTCATGTAATCTAACATCTGCAGATGTACTTACAAAAGAACCAGCTTGCATAATCATGCCCAACTAGGAAATCAGATTGGAAAACACAAACAAGTAAACACCATTCACAAATTCAAACAATCACAAAGCACATGTAAGAGGCAAGCAGAAATATTGATGACAGAAGTTTATTGGTATCTCGTGTCGATTAAGTCATGCTATTATCGTGAAAGTAGCGAGAGACGCAGTGCTCATCGCTTGACCCATAGTGGTATCGTTCTGATCTGCACTGGATATTAGCGTAGGTCCATGGTATAGAGTAGTCGCCATAGTAGCAAAGCGTACCGAAGTGAAATGTCGAGCTAGCAAAACACCTTAGATGGATCGCTTGTTGGCCTCGGCAGCGCCATCGTGCTTCTCCTGGTTGAGCTTGTCGCCGGCGGCGTTGAATGCACCAGAGGCACGGTCGGTCAAGCTATCCTGTCCGGGAACGTTGCCCTTGGCCTGCTGCTTGTTGGCCTCCTTGTTGGCCTCAGCAGTGCTGCCCTGGATGCTCTCAGAGACGTAGTTGGCGGCGTTCTTGACAGAGTTGACGGCCTGGCCGACGATGCCCTCGTTGGGAGTGTTGGCGTTGGGAGCAGACATTTTGGTTGAAAGGTTGGTTGTAAGGGTTTGGTTTGAGTGGAAGGAAGTAGATGTAAGAGTTGAAAGGTTGATTGTAGTGTGATGAGAGGCAGATGGAGGGTGGGTAAGGGTGGTATTTAAGTCAAAGAAGCAGTAGGTGATAGCAAGAGGCTAGTGGGCGCAACAAGGCAGTGACGTATGTTTGTTTGGGTTTGGGGGGCCAGACTACGTCACTGGGCAAGCGCATTGTGGGCGAGGGAAGGCGGGAGGGAGGCTAGCGTCGGTGGAAGCTGAAGGGCCAGACCATGCCAGTGCACGAGTGGGGGGCGAGGCCCACTGGCTGCAAACAGCCCAAAGGGAGCAAATGGCAAAGCACACGAGGGGTGCTTATTTGGTGAGATACCACTGTAGATCGTCGAATCTGATGCGAATCGCGTCATGGGGGTTTTGGGGTGGGTGCTAGCGCATTTGCTGCGTACCTGGTCGGCGCCCCGCTGCTGCCCCTCTACTGACGTCACTGCATTCAGCCGCGGCTTCCTTTGCATCTGCATCAAACACTGCCAGCTGCGCTGCAACGCAAACGAGCACGCAATCGCCTGCCACAAGCCGCAAGCCGCAAACCGCAAAGAGGCCACCTACACCTCTTCTTGCCTGTCACGCGGGCCCACAGCTCGCCAATTTCCTCCTGGATGCATGCGGCTACCGTGGGTGTACGTGGTGTAGGTGTTGGTATGCAGGGCGCTCTCTCCCTTGAGAAGGCGTCGCTTTCCGACCGACACGGGCGCTGTAGCCTACCGACACCGACGCCGACGCGTCCTTTACTCACACACGTAGCATGCTCTTTGCTGTTTGCATGTGAAAACACTCTCTGAAACAAGCAACGAATGCACCCACAAGGGACCAACCTAGGACCCTCAGATCCAACGACGTCATCTGCGGACCTAATCGAGATCGGCTTTACGTTTTCTTCGGCTTACATACTTGCATACATACAGAGTCTGACCAGTCTGCGGGATATACAACGCGTCTTCATCCGCAATCCCACCCGGCCAAGCTTTGTTACATCGTGCAAATCATGCGTGATTGACGCCACTAGCTTCCATCCTATCCCAGCGTGACCTGGCATCTTCGTGAAGCGGGGGAAGCACTTGTAGTTTGCCATGTTTGCGCCATAGTAGAGGCCACTTGTGCATCCTGCTAACGCCATGGGGGCTAGCAGCCTCTTGCTTGCCCCTTTTACCTACTCGACCAAGATTTTATCCTCTACATTTCCTGCTGCACCACGTCGCCCCCTCATCAGCCTTGGGCTAGACCGTGCTTCGTCTTCTCCGGTAGTCCCGCACTTGGTTGGGCAGACCTCAGTGGCGGGCGATGGGCACTCTGTTTCATCTTCGTCACAAGAGCTTACCTCTGTGTAAAGGGTGTCTGTCCACAATACGCTTCTTGCATACGCACTCGCCAGATCCCTCTGTTGAACCTTGGGCTTCAACACCTGCTTGCTCATCCAGAGCTTCAAGTTGTACCCTCTTTGCTCCTTTTGGGTTCAATGGGCCTCGGTCGTGTCCATTACAGTTGATTCTTCCAAAGTCTTTGATCAATAATCCCCGCTTTATCTCGATTGCAAATTTGCGGCAATGTGTTGGCAATCCCATCTTGATACTGCAAATTGACACTACTCCTGGGATCATGCTGCCATATACCTTGGCTTCGCATGTCGTCTTCCTGCCACCTGATGAACATCCCCTCTCAACCGACTGGCTCAGATAAACTCCGTTGTCCTTGCCGTATCCAGTCTATCATCTCGGCCAAAGGACAGTTCCGGGTGCGGGGCGCATGCACGCTCGGACAGCATCGCTATTGATTCATCCAACTGCAAAACTGGCTCAAATACCCCCAATCACTGCACCGATCGACATGGCCTCGTGACACTCTGCTACTTTACTCCAAACCCACAAGCCCCGGATTCAAACCCAAACTTTGCTGTTGGAGCCTGAGCCGACGACCTCGGCTACTACTGCTCTCATGTCCCATACATATCACATCACCCACATCCGTCGATTCATCTCCGTCACGCCACACGGGGGATCCATGGAATCGATGGATGAGATTAATTGCTACTGCGAGCAGTTTGTCTAAAGCCTCTATGGTACCAAAAAAAAGTGTATACAAGAAAGTCTGAAGGAAGGGTAGGAAAGGAATCGTGGCAGCGCCTGGTCCAGCAAGCCCGCTGTCGCTCGTGCATGCTTCCGCCAACTGGGTATCGTAGCTTTAAAGAATGGTACAATGGGGCCGGTGAGCCTTGCGCTTTGGCCGTCCCGTGTGGGTTCTGCTCCTGGGACCGCCAGGCCTCGGGGAATCCGGTGGGGCCATGCGGTTTCGTTCGTTCTGGTCTTTGCGGATGATTTGCCTGCAGAGGTCGACAAAGGCTTCGTCGACATTGGCTCTCCTTCGCGCACTGGTTTCGAAATAAGGAACGTTCCATTCACGCGATATGGCAAATGCTCGTGGACGCGGCACTGCACGGTCGTCTTCTAGGTCTGACTTATTGCCAATGAGAACCATGGGTACGTTGCTGTCTTCCTTGATCCGTCGTATCTGCTCACGCAACTCGGCGAGCTCCCAAAAGGAAGACTCTGATGTGATGCTGAAAACCAAAAGGAATCCTTGGCCAGTTTTCATGTACAGTTCTCTGCATCGGTGTAAGTTTTGATGTTTACCTAGTAGGGGTAGTAGGAAACTCTACCTCATGGCAGCTGTTATCGTGTTAGTCTTGGGTCCACGTGCGGTGGGGCTATATATGTAATCACTTACTAAACTGCTCTGTGCCGGCAGTGTCCAAGATCTCGAGAATGACATGACGGCCCTGGGGGAGGGGGAGTGGGTCAGTAAAAAAAACTGGCTAGTAGGAGTCTCGTGTACCCACGTCTACTTCGAGGACCTTTCGGTAAGAGTCCTCGATGGTGGGATCATAGCTCTCTATCCACACGTTTTGCACAAACTGCGCTGTAGGGCAAGAGAAGTCAGCATATCTAGCAGGCAGGCAGGGTTGAGTGAGTAGAGTTGAGGCAAGAACGTACCTGTTAGGCAGCTTTTTCCGACTCCACCTGGAGCGCCACCGCCGTCAGTAAAGTTCTGGTTGCTGATCACGTTTTCGCTAGCTTACCGGAGCCCAGGACGACTATGTGGTATTCGCGTTGCGACATGCTTCAGAGGAGCTGGAGGGATTGTCGCGAGGTTGGAGAAGAGATTTAGCGGCGAGAGGCAAGCTTTGTTACTTTGTGTGGCGGTGTGCTGCGCGGGTTGTGGTGTGGCACAGATGGAGGAGCTTGTCAAAGGCGCCGCGTTGCTCAGACACGGCGTAGGCGTGTATCAGCGATCTGAGTCGGGGCGGTGCGCGTTGTACTAGGCTGGGAGCCAACCACACTTGTCAGCGCATGTATTGCTAAACCCAGGTGGCGTCCAATCAGACAAAAGCAGCCTCGAATACTCGCGTCAACAGGCCATTGAGGCGACTGGACGGCATGCAGGTGGTCCGGAAAGTTTGTGTAACTCACATGGGCAATGCGCGAGGCTGGGCCAGGATGGGGGAGGACAGAGATTTTTTTGTGTCTCTGCAAGTCACGTGCAGGACGGAGGAAGCGGACAGGATAAGGATAGCAACAGAAAGCAGGACAGGCAGGACGGAGCAGCGGCGGCAATTGGGGAACAGCGAGGATGATTGGGAAGGAGGGACCAAGGGGACATGGATGCAGCAGAAGCGGACTCAGACGCAGCAGGCTGGCTAGGGCTTAGTAGAAGATATGGCGGATAACGTGGTGCGTGGCGGCGTCGGTTGCCAGCGAGGCTGCCGTGTGCTCGGCTCTGGGGTGCAGCCCGTCCAGCGTCCAGGCCGCGGAACAGCCAGAATAGAAACAAGGGGCCGGGCGAGGTGAGGTTGGGTGCTGCGGGGTTGGGGGTTGGTGCGAGGGGATCAAGGGTGGTGATGAGTGAAGCGGCGAGGGGGAATGGGCACGACAAAAGCAATCCCATCACCATGATAAAGCTGTGGCCGTCAAGTAGCCAGCCGCGAAACCGACCCGGCCTGGCGGGACACAGGCGCCCTGATTGACGGTAGTGTCGTGGGCAGTTGACTCGCTGCCCCATTGACCACACTCAGCACCCAAGATGCCCCCCCATGGCCCCCCGGTCTGCCATGACGGCTTGACACGCCGGCGCCCGTTGCAACGGCTAGGTTGTTATGTCTGTATGTGCGTATGTTTGGCCATGTATGCTTGGAGAACATGTGTAGATACATGCTTGTATATATATATATATATACATACACACACATGGACCTGTCCAATACACATCCACGTCCACGTCCACAAGCAAAGCAATCATGGTTGGCGAGGCTGCGAACCCAAGGCGGTGCCGGCCCCTGGTGCCAACACGGACTTCGACTCCGAAGCCATAGCAGTGGAGCTCGCGTGGTGCCGCCGGAACAATCGACCTGACGCCGTAGATGCGCTTCTAGCGTCGAAGCCGACAAGGCCCAACCCAGATGCAATGCCAGACGCCCGCCGACTACTTACACCACTCGCACTACAGTCCACAATCGCCCAAGGCCATTCCACCCTGTGGTCCCTCCAAAGCCTCCAAATTGACTTTGGCTGCTACCATGACCAGCGCCAGCGCCAGCACCAGCACGGGCACCTGCACGACAAATACCCCCAGGGGCTACCTGCCGCTGACTGACTGATTGACTGACTGACTGACTGACTGACTGATCGATTGACTGACTACCCGTGAATGATTGAATGAATGAATGCGTCCGGAGCAGTCCCCTGTGCACGTGCGTTCGCACTGATCACGTGATGCCCATCGTACCCGTACGCTGACCGCAGCGGTCCCAACCTCGACCAGCTGCGCTGTTACCCCACCATACAATGCGTCTCCATGCTGCCCTCGCCCTCGCAGCATGCCTCGCTCCGGCCGCGGCTGTCTTCGAGGACGAAGCCCATCACATTGACTTCCACTATGCCCTGCTAGGCCTCCCCAAGCATGATGCCACCTTCTTTCAAAAGCCCTACCCTGGCTCAAAGGCCTCTCTGCTCTATTCGCTGTCCGACAATAACACCGTCGCCGCAATCAATCCAAAGGACGGTGCTCTAGTATGGCGCCATCCTCTCCCCGCAGCTGCTGGCGACGTCGCCCATCTGCGTGCCGGCAACGAGCAAGACACCGTCATCAGCGCCCTCGGCCAGCGCGTCGTCGCGTGGAGTGCCTCCGATGGCCGCCTTGTGTGGGAGACTAGCACTCCCGCCGCCCGCATTGAAGATCTGGAGATACTCGAGCAGGAGGACGGTATGTCAATTGATGCAGCAAAAGACGCCCTCGTCCTGTTGGCCGCCGACGCCAGTCTCAGTGTCAAGAGGCTTGATGGAAAGACTGGACAGCCCAAGTGGACGCACGAGGATACAAGGTGGGCAATGCCATCATTTTCTGCCAAAAAGACATCAACTTACTCAATGACAGCGGAGACACGCCATTTCAGCTCTCGACCTCGCCAATCACAATCTACTACATCGCCCTCCACACGCCTGTGCTTGGTGCCTCTAAGCTGCGCATCACCTCGCTGAGCCCCATAACAGGAAAGAAACTCGACCAGTACACACTAAACTCCGACGCCGAAATATCCTCGCGTGACCGTATCCTGTTTGCAGGAGCCAACACAGCTGCCCCGCTGCTGGTGTGGACCGACAAGGCGAACAAGGTGCTAAAGGTGAATATCATAGGCACAAAGGCCGTGTCCAGCTTCCCGACCCCAGAAAATGTCGCCGTAGAGAGCATTGTACTTCACGCTCCTAGCCACGTCAACTCTCGTGCCCACTTCCTCGTCGAGTACCAAACCGCTGTCGGTCACTTGGCCGAGGTGTTCCACGTCGACCTAAAGAAGAACACCGTCTCCAAGGCCTACACCCTGCCAGAGCTCAAGACAAAGGGAACCTTTTCCACGAGCACTTCGGACGCAAACGTATACTTTACAAGGATTACAGAAGAGGAAATGATGGTCTTTTCATCCGTCTCAAACGACCTCTTGGGCCGCTGGAGCGTCAAGAGCTCGCCCGCACTTGCCGGCGCCTACCCTGTTCATGCGCAATCCGAGGTTGTCGTGCGAGATGCCACTGCAAGCGCTATCAGATCATCGGTCCTTTATTCTAACGGGCAGTGGGCTCTTCTCCGAAATGACGACTTGGCTTGGACAAGACCAGAGTTTCTCGCACGGACTGTATCTGCAGTATGGGCTGGCCTTCCTGAACAAGAGGCCCTAGCGCAAGCACTTGCAGACGAAAGTCATCGTAACCTCGTCTCGGCTTACATGCACCGTGTGCAAAGACACATTCAAGACTTGAAGCATTTTCCAGCTTGGGTGCAGGGAATACCCCAGCGACTCCTTGGTAGCGTCATTGGGCAGACAAAAGAGACGACAATCGGCGAAATCCAGCAAGACACGTTTGGGTTCCACAAACTCGTCGTTGTTGCCACTGATACAGGACGTCTTGCTGCACTTGACGTTGGCTCACGAGGCAAGATTATGTGGAATGTTGATCTTGGCAAACTCGCACCTACCAATGAGTTTCAACATCCTCGCCTCAAGGCCCATAGCGGCTATGTCCAAGTCAAGGATGCTGTATCCGAGAAGTCATTGGTCATCAACTCTACTACAGGTAGCCTTGTTTCGCCCGCCAATGTCAAGCTTGAAACTCCGTTGGTCTCTGAGGGGCAAGCCCTTGTAGCATTCACGTTTGCAGATGGAACACTGAGAGGCTATCTACAGAATCAGCCAAGTTCGGAACCAGCGTGGAGCTTCCGTCCTGCCGGGGAGGAGCGGATTGTCAACTATGTCGCTCGGCCTGTCAAAGATCCCGTTGCCTCCATTGGCAAGGTGCTCGGCGACCGAAGAGTGCTGTACAAGTACCTTAACCCCAACCTAGTTTTGGTCACGACAGTCTTCGACTCGAAACGATCTGCATCCGTTTATTTGCTCGACTCTGCCTCGGGACAATTGTTGCACACCGTATCGCATAATGACGTTGACACTTCTCGGCCCATTCCGGCCACCATTTCGGAGAATTGGTTTACATATGCGCTGACCATTGACGCGGGTTCGGATTCGGCTTCACGTGGCTATCAGCTGGTTGTCTCTGACCTTTACGAGTCCCCGCTCCCCGATGACAGAGGTCCACTTGGCGCCTCCTCCAACTCGTCGACAGTACAGCCCTCGGATGCAGCCGGCGATGCTATACGACCCTATGTCATATCCCAAAGCTACCAGGTGCCAGTAGAAATCTCGCACATGGCTGTGACACAAACCAAGCAGGGCATCACCAGCCGCGAACTTCTCATCACCGTCCCCTCCATCAACTCCATCATCGGTATTCCTCGCTCTGTCATCGATCCTCGTCGACCCATTGGCCGCGACCCTACCGCACAAGAGCAATCCGAGGGTCTAGTCAAGTACGCGCCTCTTATCAACTTTGATCCCAAGTGGCACCTTACCCACAAGTACGAGGTGATTGGTATCAAGGAGATTATCACGAGCGAAAGCGGACTTGAAAGTACTAGTCTGGTCTTTGCATATGGCCATGACATCTTTGGAACAAGGGTTGCACCTAGTTTTGCGTTTGATGTGCTCGGCAAGGGGTTCAACAAGATCTCCATGTTGTTGACTGTTGTGGGATTGTTTGTTGGTGTCTTGTTCGTTGCGCCTTTGGTGAGTAATTTTTTCTTTTGTATATACGTGGAGATGGCCGGTTTTTTGCTAACAGAGTTTTTTAGGTGAGGAGAAAGCAGATTAACACTCTGTGGACGATGTGATGAGATCATGCAGGCGAGCTTCGAAAATAGTGTAATGGGGAGCAGCATCTTAGAGGCTTCATCTCCACGTAGGATATGGAGCAGACAGTCGACCTACTATAGGTATAGTCACGATAAGTCAGGTGAGCCGGACAAACGTAAGTATGTAGGCTAAGTGCATTTAGAGCACTTGGTAAAAGGTTCTTTAGCCATGGAGTGTGAACTCAAGTGTAAGACTTGTTGTAAAACAAAAAAATCACATCCAAACCCTCCGTTTTTCTTTCGGTCCACAATCTAGTTGCAACTTGCTACTTGACGATGTAATCGACTGTTGCATTTCCAGCACAATCTAAACAAACTACTCATCCATTCCCCCCCCCTCTCAATCCTCCACACTCTTAACAAAAACCCTCAACCCTTTACTCTCCAGACTCGTAATCGGAATAAAAAAATCATGTCCAACCTCGACATCTGCCACGCTACTCTCAAACAACTCGTACTTGTACCGCCGAAACATCATACCGAGCACGAGATACATTTCCGTCCACGCCAGCGTAACACCCAGACAAGCCCTGGTGCCACGCCCGAAACTCACCATGAAGCGATCCAAGGGAAGTCCGTCGGGCGTGCGTGAATCGCCGAGCCAGCGCTCGGGAATGAAGGCGGTCGAGTTGGGGAAGATGGCGGGGTCGTGAGAGGAATCGGATATCGTCATTGACTATTTCTCCTCATTAGTAGCGGAAAAAAACCCCCTAGAATCCCCCATCATGTGAACTAGGAAAAGGGGAGGGAAGCAAGGACGTACAATACAAGTATTCGCGGGTATAACCCAATCGCCGTAATGCAAGGGTGTCTTGTGGGTTCGCGGGTTCCTTGCTGAGAGACCGTAGGATAGTCGTATCGCTTCCATAACTACCGCTTTCAAATACGGCATTTTCTCCAGCACTCCCAGGTCCAGGTCATTCTTATTGGGGAACGCGGCCACGAGGTCCGCGTGGAGGCGCTCGTATATATGCGGTGTGTTGATGATGTGGAAGGTAGCTACAGCAAGGGAAAAAGCAGTTGTTTCAACGCCGCCGCCGAGAATGACTTGGGCTTCTTCTGCGAGCCGCCTGTGAGATTTATCTTGAGGGGGTAGTTTGGAGTCGAGGATTTCTTGGAATATGGTTTTTTTGGCGTCGTTGGATTTGAGGTCTTCACCGCGGAGGGTGCGGGCGATTAGGGCGCGGTGGTCCTGTATACCCCGGGGGGGTTAGTGGTTAGTACGTGTGGGGATATGTAAGGGCATGGACTGGGTTTGCTGGAGCGGAGAATTGGGGAAAGGGGGGAGGGGGGTCTCCGAGGGGCTGGGAGGATGGGGGGATACAAGGATGTGTGTGTGTGTGTGCCGCGTACCTGCTGGAATTTTAGGATGGGTTTTGCGGCGGGCTGCAGCCACCCGGTGATGTAGTCAGGGATGGCGTCCATGATCTGTGTAAAGGGCCCTGGTTAGTGTATACCATGTCGTGTCGCCAATGAGTGGGACCGGGGTCCACAAGGGATTGCCACATGGATATTGCGAGTAAACTAAACATAGAGACATACAGGAAGAATCATGGGGAATTGGGTAGCGAGATGGCCCATGCCGGCAATCTTGGTAAAGGCGTCGTGGAAAGACTCGAATTCAGGATTCTTGAGGTGGTTGTAGTTGAAGCCGAAAAAGTAGTCCATGATGATGTCGCCAGTCAGAGCGGGAAAGGCATGGGTGAGATTGAGCGGCTCTGCACGCTCCTCAAACTCTTGCATGCGATGAGCAAGCGTGTCGACATGGCGGTAGATGATGTGGACAAAGTCGAGAATGGAACGACGTGAGAACCTACAAAGAAGTATTAGTTGAAAGTTCTCTTCAGTGATAGACTCAGGTCATATTATCCAGCAAGGAACATATGTACGACATACATGGGGGCCAATGCGGCACGTCGTCGCTTATGTGCTTCGGCATTTACCGTGGCGAGCACACCGTCGGCGACGCCAAATCGCTTATCCCATCCCTCCTTGTCGAGATGGACGTTTTTGGGGTAGAGTTGGTCGAAGAATCGCGAGTCTCGGATATGCAGCTCGTCAGGTGTTACTCGAATAATGGGACCTTCCAGGCTCGGGTTAGTCAAGCGAACCAACAACAGTCGCATGTAGCAAGTCCATGCGGGGAGGCCGAGTGTTGGTGGCCAAATTGCAGCGTACCGTATTGGTCATGGAGTTTGGATATCTGCTTCGAGTATTGTCCTTTGAGAACTATCTCGTAGTAGCCCTCGTAGAAGCTCGTGACAGCCGCGATCTTAGGCCCCGGAAACTTGGCTAGCGGATGGAGATAGAGGCGATAAAAGGCACGTGCAATTAGATAGGCAAAGTACGCGGCAAAGCAAAGGAGCGGTACCGAAGGAAGCACTCGCGCGGTGTCCGTGTTGGTCTGGGATGTCATGGTAGGCTGGCTGCTAGGGTCAAGAGACAACCAGGTTGAAGCATGTGTCGGGACAGGAACGAACGGGCAGAGGAGAGGATATTGGGATCTTTTTGACTATGCAGTGAACACTGTGCTACGGGGCTGCGGCCGTGCAGAGCAGGCAAGTGGATACACGGCACGCATGCATGGTGGGTGGATGGGGTCCATTTTCAGACGGGTGAGCTGACGGATGGAAGCTCACTCTGGCAGGAGGAAGACGAGAAAGGACAGATAATACAGATAATCGGCGGGCAACCGCCCCGTGGCGTGAGACAAGAAGGGACAAAGTAATACAGACAATCGGTGGGTGGGCAACCGCCCCGCATCGTAAGACGGATCTTAAGCAGGCTAAAAGCTAAGATGCAGCGGCGTTGGGGTGGAGCAAGTAGTTATTAGTGGGCGGTGGGTCGGACAGGAAGTGGCAGCGAACAATGGCCCTGGATGCCACGAGACGCCAATGCACGCCTCCCACCCATTGTGAGCAGCAACATGGCTGTGGTTGGATCCCAATGCGGGTGGATGGCACGACGGATCCACTGGCTGTGGCCTAGGCGCGCTGCGTCTAGTTGATCGTATAAGGCCGCTCGTTGTCCATGACTTGGGTGGAATTGAGTTCTGTCGTCCAGCACATCACACCACAACCTGGTCTGAGGATACACGACATGTCGGCTGCCCCCACCAGCGCGAGCGGGCCGCAACAGGCATCCCCACCAGCAACATCATCATCACAACCACAGGCGAATGCCGGCAACCTCCAGCCAGTCCTCCACCTCGATGTAGACACGGCCGCCAACAGCGACGATGACTCTGCATTTGACGGCGAGTCCTCCGCCTCCACATCGCTCGCCTCGACTATCCTCAACTACGAATACTCAAATGGCCGCCGCTATCATGGATACCGTTCGGGCGCCTACATCCTGCCCAACGACGAGCAAGAGCAAGACCGCCTCGACCTACAGCACCACATTTTCCTGCTCATCCTCCAAGGCAAGCTCTACGACGCACCCATTTCACCCTCTCCCCAGCGCATACTCGATGTTGGCACTGGAACCGGCATCTGGGCCATTGACTTTGCCGACGAGTTCCCTGGCGCCGAAGTAATCGGGACCGACCTCAGTCCCATCCAACCTACATGGGTCCCTCCAAACGTCAAGTTCTACATTGACGATGCAGAGTCCGAGTGGGTCTACAGCCCCGCAGAGGCCTTTGACTACATCCACTGCCGTAACATGTCTGGCAGCATCTCGGACTGGGACAAGTTCGTGCGCCAGACGTTTACCCACACTAAACCGGGTGGCTGGGTCGAATTCCAGGAGCCGCTGGCGCAGGCCGATTGCGACGATGGCACCATGGACATGGCCAAGGATTTTTTGCAGTGGCAGACATTATGTCATGACGCCGCTGCTAAGTGGGGGAGAGATATTCGTGCAGGCATAGGCATCAAGCAGCACATGCTAGACGCGGGATTTGTTGATGTTCACGAGAAGATTGTCAAGGTAAGTTGTATGCTTTTTCTTTTGGTCGCTTCCCACTGCCCATGATGCTAACACACTTCAAACTAGATCCCACTCGGCCCCTGGCCCAGAGACGCACGCATGAAGGAAATTGGCCGCTATCAGCGTGAGCACATGTCTATAGGCGTAGAGCCCTATACGTTGGGCCTCTTGGGCAAAGTAGCCGGCTGGACCGAAGAGGAGTGCCGTGTCATGATTGCCCGTACCGTATCCGACGTTAGGAGAAAAGACGTACATATGTACATTAGATTCTATTTTGTCCACGGCCGCAAGCCCGACCATGCTGGAGCTAGTTGAGTCAGAGCCATGGAAAAGTGGATGGTGTTGCTGCTATCTTTTCTTTTCTTTTCTTTTCTTGTTTAGCGAACAAGACGGCGGTTGGTACGGTATGGTGTTATGAAAAGGGCGTGAATGTTAACGGGGTTTGCATTTCTGTGCGACTATAACTAGCACGTTCTGATATCTGTGCCGCCGCATGCTTGGGGTTGCAATGCATAAAACTTCGCATCTTCACATCCGTCTCTTGACCCTCATCAGCGCCCTCTCGACGACGTTTCTACCCAGCTGCGGGATACTCTGAATCCCACCGCCCTCACCCCACTCATCCACTCCCTGCACGTTGTTGTCCTGGGTTTCCACAGCAACAGGGACGACTCTGACTTCGTACTGCCTTGGCGGATCTCTCAGCCCTGGCCATATATCGAGGGGCAGAAAATCACCTTGGGCCAGGGTAAACTGTTCTCTTGCGCGCTCGTCTTCCAAACGCAGCTTATCCAGCTCTTTTTGCGCCTCTTCAGCCTTGCGCTTGGCCTTTTCATGCCGCCTCCGTCGCGATGATATCTCGACTAGGAGCTCGGCATACGCCAGGTCAAACCGTTCATAGAATTCCCGTTGGTTCTCCCATTCGTCGATGCCGTTGAGCAGGTTGGGACGAGTGTCTTGAAGCCACGAGACGTGGAAAGCGCGTGAGGTGGCAATGTGCCGTTTGACCTCATTTGTAATATGCGATATCATTTGCAGTATGCTTGATAGAGCCGACGCCTCGCTGCGGAGGTGGTTGACATGGTTCTCAATCTGGCTGAGCAGGAACGTCATTTCCGAACCTCTCTCTTGGATCTCAGCCACAACATCGTCGACTTGGCGGGCGTCCTTTTGTAAGACATTGAGCATGTCGCGCCGTTCTTCTTCACTCATGGGCTCGGGAGGCGCTGCTCCGTCGTCGGCAGAGTGTACCGGCGCATCGCCTGTGGCTTGTGTGGCAGCAGCAGATCCACCCTCGGTGTGTCGCAAGGCCGTAATGCACAGATCATAGTGCTGAACCAGGGACTGGAAGGCCTGAGCAGCCTCTTTGGCGTGTCCTTCAAGATTGTGATATAGGCTCGGTATTGGGCTCGGGGTCGATACGGTGGCAGGCGTCATGGGAACATTGTCGATGGACGAGTAGAGATTATCGAGTGAGGTATCAAAGGCATCGCAGCTCTCATCGAGCGTCGCATGGGCCTCGTTGTACCGGTCTATGCAGGCGCGCAAGGTGCTCTCGAGGTTGGAGACAGTGGCGCTGTCGATAAAGTCGTAGAGGTGCTTCTGAGGGGTCCCATGAGGCTGCAGGACGGCTTCGATGGGAGTCTCGCGCAAGACGGCAAGGGTAGAGTTGAGGCCAGCAAAGGATGTGTCGACATGATGCAGTATCTGCTTGAACTCAGTCTGCACTTCGGCCTCTACTACGTCAATACCGCGGCGCACAGCTTCGAGTGCATCGACCTGCTGCTCTACAATATTACGGATCGAAGTGTTCTTAGCGGCGAGGACGGCATTCTCCTCGAGCAGCTCGCGTGCGGTGCTGACAATGTCGGTGGCACGCCATAGAACGGTCTGAGTATTTAGTGCGCGCTTAGCAGCAACAAAATGGGTTACAAGATGCTCGAGAGTGAGGGAGTGGTTGTTGTCGTGGTCCAAGGATGCTCTCGACGCGGCGCTGCTAGTTGGAGACGCGGGCGATTGGGGAGAAGCCATGGCGATGTCATCAAGCGAAAGCGCAGGGCATTTCTGGCAGTCTTCAGGCTACAGCAAATACAAGGTCACGGCGATGCTTTTTGTCGCCAAACATTATGACCAGGCTGGGAGGCATCCGAGGAGAGATGGAGGCGAAGATGGATGGATGGATGGATGACGGTCGTACGCTCGGGCTAGTAGTACAAGGCACGCTCAACCAGGGTCCAATTGCGGAGAGATGCATACAAGGCCCGCATAGCCCGCCCACCCTAAGGCTGACGTGACGGCGACGACAGAACCCACAAGCAGCATGGTGAAGCGTCGTCGCAGAGTAGAGAAGACAGTCTGCGCGACCTTCGGACCTGGGTATCTGCACCCGCCCGGCCCCCCGGCATGTGCTAATCATGCTTTCTGGCCCGGGTGGCCAAGTGGAATTGCGTGCTTCGAAGATGTTATCCACAACTGACATTGCGCCATTGCGCCATGGTCGCTTCGCCGCTGCTCTCCTCGACGACGCCTTCAATCAACCCCCACGCCCGCCTAGTACTACACCCCTTCGCAGCTGGCCGAAACTATCTTTTCTCAAACTACTTTTTACTTCGACACGAATCCCCTGTTCTTGCCGCCACATATCCGCCGCATTTTGTGCGCGCAGAGCCTCTCTCTCTGGCAGCATCCATCCGAGTCCTCTCGAACCTCCACCTTAGCTCGCACGCGATATTACCCCAGAATCTCGACAGCCCGCTGCATTCCCTGCACGACGTATGAATTGCGCATCCTAGAGGGCCAGTGCCCTTGTCCAAACACTAGGGGAAGCAACAGTGCAGCCCGGCAGCCGATACTTGCTGTAGCTGTTTAAAGCCTTTGGTCTCTCAAGCACGCAACCATGGCGCCCAATGCCACCCATACCGTTGAGACGGTCGCCGAACATACTCCGCTACAATCCTCGACTACAAGTCCTAAGCAGAGACGCCTCTCATGGCGAAACCCAACCCATTCTCCTGACGACTTCTCCGCAAAGCTCTCCGCCCTCCCTCACGCCGCTTTAATGCACGGCCACGACCACGAAGGCCTCTCAGAGCGGACCAGGCACTTGCACGCCAACGCCGAAGACTCCGAAGAGACCCAGGCAAACAAGTCCAAGAAGATTGAAAAGATGATCACGCCATATCTTGCACAGCACATTCCACACCAATACAACCCGTTGGGTGCCAATGGCGGCAGACAAGACGAGCGCCCGCCCACTGCAAACACAAAGTTTTGCTACCGCCACAGACCAGACCTGCTCTGCCGACGCCAGGCAGATGAGCCCTCCATGGAACAACTGCAGGATGTGAGTGCCCTCTTGTCGTTGCCAAACCGCTTGCTAACTTGGATAGGAACTCGGCAGAGAATCTCAAGGCGATCAGCAGAGCATCGCCAACGTATGGTCGCTTTTTTCTGCTGCCCCTTCTCGACACCGCAACCTCATGCTTCAAGGCATCCTCGCCCAGTGTTGCTTCCCACAACTCTCCTTCATCTCTTCCTCAGTCCGCAACCTTATCAAGATTGACTTTCTCGGCGCCCTCCCCACCGAACTGGGCTTTAAGATTCTGTGCTATCTTGACACAACCTCACTATGCAAAGCAGCCCAAGTCAACCGAAGGTGGAGACAACTGGCTGACGATGACGTTGTCTGGCATAGGATGTGCGAACAGCACATTGACAGAAAGTGCACGAAGTGCGGTTGGGGGCTTCCACTGCTAGACCAACGACGTTTGCGGCAAGAAAAGAGGCGCATACAACTTCGGGCTTCAGGCCGAGGACTGAACGAATGGTCGCCCAATATTACGCCTCAGCCCGATTCCTTTGTCCCTCCCACATCGCTTTCTCACCAACTTTCCGATGTTCCTGGCTCCCCTACAGCCGTCAAGCGGTCTGTACCAGACGATTCATCATCTCCAGAAGCTTCGAGCAAACGACAATGTCTCAACGTTGCGCCAGGCCAAGATCAACTTACATCCTCTTTCGACCACCCCAAGAAACGTCCGTGGAAGGACATTTACAAGGACCGCTATAAGGTTGGCAGCAACTGGAAATACGGTCGTTACTCAACACGCATACTAAAAGGACACACTAATGGCGTCATGTGCTTACAATTTGACGACGAAGTTCTCATCACTGGCTCCTATGACGCAACTGTCAAGGTGTGGGATGTCAAGACTGGCCAGGTGATACGCACACTTACTGGTCACTCTCAAGGCATCCGGTGTCTGCAGTTTGAAGACAGCAAACTCATCACTGGAAGTCTGGACAACACCATCAAGATATGGAATTGGCGGACAGGTGCACTAATCAAAACCCTAAACGCTCACAGCCAGGGCGTCATCGGCCTCCACATGGCCGGCAAGCTCCTAGCATCCGGATCCTCGGACAACACAATCGTAGTGCACGACTTCACTCAAATGAAACGTACCACGCTCGTCGGCCACACCGACTGGGTCAACTCAGTCAAAATCGACCTTCCCTCACGTACCCTCCTCTCCGCCTCGGACGACATGACCGTCAAACTCTGGGACCTCGACACGCACCGCTGCATCCGCACCTACGAAGGCCACGTCGGCCAAGTCCAGCAAGTCCTCCCCTTACCCCCCGCTTTTGAAATCGACGAAAACGACTTCATCGCAAATGCAAACAACGACAGCTCGGACACCGCCTCCCTCTCCTCCGACATGCCGCACTCCCTTCCCCTGCCCCTCGCCTCATCCTCCTCCAACACCTCTTCTTCATCCCAAACACCCGCCGACGATTCACTCTTCTTCCCAGACGACCCTACCCGCCCTGCTCCTCCCTCATACATGCTCACCGGCTCCCTCGACGGCACCATTCGCCTCTGGCACGTCCCTTCTGGCCGCTGCGTGCATCGGTTTTTCGGTCATGTAGAAGGTATCTGGTCGCTTGCTGCGGATTCTCTGCGTCTGGTTAGTGGGGCCGAGGATAAGACGATCAAGATTTGGGACCCCAGAACGGGGAAGCATGAGAGGACGCTTACGGGGCATACGGGGCCCATTACGTGTGTGGGGTTGAGTGATGAGTGTGTGGTTAGTGGGAGTGAGGATGGGACGGTTAGGGTGCATTGTTTTGTTGGGGATCAGGCGTGTGTTGGAGGATGATTGATGGGACTGATGTCTTTTTTGTTGCGTTTAGCCACGGCGCTTTTTCTTTCTTCTTCTTCTTTTTCTTTTCGGGTTTTCTGGTATGGATTTCGGTATCTTTTAGCGACTATGGATGTATGGATGGATGGATGGGTTTTGACGAGGCTTTATTTTCTTCTCACTTTTTTCTTTTTCTTTTTTTTTTCTCTTCAAGGGGGGGTTCTAGAGATGGAATTGGCGCGTAGGATTAATACCCCAATAGCGGAATTTTTTTTATCATGGTATCTACTTTCTTTCTTCAAATGAAGAATTTGCTCAGGGCAAAAGGAATGTGCGATATCTCTCGTGGCGGTGATGTGGTGGATTGTGTGCTTTGAGCAATTATGTGGAGTAGGTGTCGGAGAGTTCAGGTTAAAAAAAGGTTTAATTCTAATAATGTATTACTGTACAACAATTATGCGTGGTATAATTCATGGTTGCGCTTCGAAACGTTGCTCTCTCTCTTTCTCTGTCTATCTCCCTTCCCCTTTTCCTTCACTGGTATACAACACCCATTATTCTTCCTCTCTATTCTTCTCTTCCTCATTTCATTGCGCTGGGTTCTTCTGCTTGGACACCAGCTCTTCGTCGTGCTCTTGCTTCGATGAATAAGCTGCTTGTTAGATACTCTTTGGTTTGTTCTGTGTGCGTAGTCGCATAGCTATGATCGAAAGAATACATTGAGATGCTCAATAGCGTCGTGGATGGTGTCCGATATGGATGAGTGTTGTGCAATGTTCTCTTCATCGCGGTGTTCGTTACAGATGCTCGCTTCATGATGGGCCGCCATTTGGCAGCCATCGATGCTGATTTAGTAATATCAAAGAGTGCTCTTGTAATCATGCTTTGCGTTGGATAACCCATGGCGTAGTTAAGGTCAAATTCGGTTCCGGTACGTCAATATGAGTGCTGGCCCACACTGAGTGCCCGGCCAATCCGGGCGTCGAGACTCATCGGCCATTTTGGATCCAACATTGGGGACCCGTGGATGCGAAATAGGCTCCTTCTTTCAAGAGCTGTTTTTCCTTGTCCATCCAATCGACAATCTTCTCAGCTGATTTAAAGTCAAGATCACCGAGCTTCGACTCGATTCCCGTCATGCTGCTGGTGTTGTAGGAGATCTTGATGAAGAGCGAACAGTCCCTTAGAGTCATTGCTAGCCGGAGATTATGGTCAAACAGTTCTGATCCATGCTGCGGTCGACAGAGAACACCCAGCGGGTCAAGTGTACTTTGCAATTGAAATAGATGTCGCAGTAGGTCGACGCCGTCTCCAACCGTAAGGTAGGCCACGATACCTTCAACCATAGCTGAAACCACAGTCTGAGACGGTGATTTGCTGCCAAAGTGGCGTTTAACTGTTGCATGTGCCCAGGGACGAAGGGCTTTCGAGTCCCCATGCAGCACCTGGAGCGGGCAAATGTAGCTTTCTCTATTCTTAGGCACAGAGACCTGCATCGCGCAAGTCCGGCAACGGATAGCTCCTGAAGGCGCATTTGGTGATTGCGCTAGCCACTTGGGTTTGATCTCGAGCGTTATTGACTGTCCAGGGGTAGGTGACATGTTGGGAAGGAGAATGCCCCAGCAGTTTCGTGATGTGATGTTGGTAAATGTGCCTTTTCCACCTATAGTGTAGAGGTGATTCATTACTTCTGGTAGTAGGAGCACAGCTTCGTGGTCCATAAGATGCTTGGTGAGGTCTCGGTTGAGTTGCATTGTAAGAGGGGTGTCCGCACCATTTCGTGATACTGTGGCTTGACCAAGGGTTTTGTATCTGCCTGGCAAGAATAAGGGCCGGATCACACGCTCGTATCCGTAAATAATTTCCATGGACGACAAATGTTTCTGGCCACCTCTGGGGACTCGGAGAACGTGGCGCATGAGATATTCATAGTCCATGGTCGTAGCTCTGAAAGATAATTGGCCATCGCGCAAAACATCGATAAAGGAGAATGTCGTCGCAGAACTATTCGGAGTCCAACTCTGGATTTTGAAGATGATATTGGCAGCGCCTTTGTTGAGGTATTCAAATGTGACGTGTGATGGAGTAGGTGCATCAGTGGTCCTCCGCACACAGCATCGAGTCGAAACATCTCCTAGCTCTTCAGAGAGGTGACGCATCTCATCTCTTGTAAGCTGTATAGCTGTCATGCTGTGTTGAGGGGTGGATGGAGGAGATATATGCACTCGCCGGCACGAGCATGCTTAGCAGTTGCGCAGTACCCAACCTAACAACTAGCGCAAGAGCATAGAAGCAAACACGAGCCTCGACAGCAGCGACGGTAATGCGACTCCTGTCGCTGGATTGGTTGGCTCTGGAGGAATGCTCTGCCCTGGATAGGAGATGGTGTTGACTCGTTCCTTCGAATATATCTTTGTCGCGTGGTCCAATCGTCGGGTCGCCTTGCAACTCAGGTGGGTGTGGTCCGAGTGACGCAACAGGGACGACCAGGCGTCGGGCAGCTTTCTCCACTTTGAACGTTACCGTCGACGTGCTGGCTGTGTGGAAAAAGAAACGACTTGTCCATGTTGTCGGCTGCCCGGTCCTGTTCAGGGTCAGAATTGTGGCGCTCAAAAGCCATCTTCTACCCGTGGTTGGGGTGGACCTTCGCGTCCCTCACGTAATCTCGCCCCGCCAATCACAAGCAAAACACAGGCATCCGTCTTCTGGACGCGATGAATCTGGCTTCTCTTGTGACGTCCATCGTCAGCCAAGCTTTGCACACTCGACGCTGCCGGTGAGCACAAAGGCTGCCTCTGCCACATCACGCGGACCGTCAGCAAACATGCCAGCGCCCGAGCCCCTACCGACCTTCTTGTACAAGATTCTTCCAAGCGCCCCGCCTTCACCGCTCCCTACCCGTCTCCCGCTCTCGGACCTCGACCGCACCGATGGCTACATCCATCTCTCCACCTCCGAGCAAGTGCCCGGTACCGCTGATAAATTCTTTGGTGACGTTTCAGAATTATGGCTTCTGAAGATCCGGTATGAAGTGCTGGCCGCAGGGACTGATGGCGATGGTCAAGTCCATTCGGATAAGGCGGCAGAGTTGAAATGGGAGGAGGTCGGGCGAGGGTGTTTTGCGCATCTCTACAGAGCAGATCTCGGATCTGGAAATATAGAGAGTGCGTTCAAGATTGAGAAGAAGGGCAGCTGGGCCGATACCTTGAGCCTGGAATGGTGAGAGCGACGGGGCTACAATATGGTAGAGCAAACGCTAAAAATATCATTACCGGCTGATACATGAGATCTTCTTTCATATTACCCTGTGATGGTTCTATACATGGCATATTAGTTGCATACTAACTATTGGGTACTGATCTACATGACTTCAAGTGTACTTTCTTGTATTCTCTTATTGCCTCGAAGAAGTGGTCTCTCTACTAAGTCTGGATATACCCCAGCGAACCCGGTCAACAGATTTTAATTAACCGGGTCAATGCTTTGTGGTCCATTCATGCGTTCTGTATATCTTGTTGCCGGTTTATCGTCTTGCCATCATAAAGCCAATTGCCCGTAGAGAGTGCAATCTCTCTGTGCACGTATTGCTGTCCCATGTTAGGAAGCCTTGATATGTCTGAGATTTCTGACAAGCCTTAATGCTATTATTAGAATAATTTATACGATTGGGTGACAATGCTTAAGCACATGCCTTCGGTACAATAGCAATGCTTGGTTTCATCACACCGAATCTCTTCCGAATATCTACTATGTATGTATGTCTACTTGTACTACACGGTGTTGTTACATGTGTAGGACGTTAATTTGTTCGTCAACAGTAGTTTACGTCAAATTCTTCGTTATCGAGTCAGGGAACTACGTCATAGGCATACGTCAAATGTCTACTGGAATTTAACCTTTGAAAAAAGAAAATTGCTTGCCAATCGGTCTTATTCGCAATACTATTGGGGCTGAACCTTACTTTAAGCAAGCGTCAGAATCCCATTTAGAAATCGTACACACATGTATGGAATTTATTACGGTTGAGCGGGACAAACCCATGTCCTTACGAGAGAGGTTGTGCACTAGAAGCTGGCAACGCGCTATGTCCAAAGCGCCTAGATCTGCAAAAAAAACTTTTTTCAGCTACGACCACCACCACCAACATAGAGATGATCCCAAACTAGCAAAAAAGATATTGAAGCTCATACAAGCTCCGGCTTTGACTCAGCCGAGGTTTGAACTCGGGACCTTCAGTGTGCCTAACAGGTTGTTAGACTGACGTGATAACCAACTACACCACCGAGCCCTGTTTTGTTGAAAATCTTGGATATTAAAAACAATAAGTCGTTGAGAAAATTCCCTGACGTTATGCAACGAGCGTGGGCATCGCCCACACTTGTCCTAGCAAAGTAGTACAGTTTATATCTCTATTCATATGGTGCAGATATTCAGAAAATCACCCCATGCCTCAATTGCAAATGCGACTCAGTGTTGACGCCACAATATCGAATGACAGCCACGCTCAGGTCACGTACAGTAAGGAGATGCAATTCAATGCCGTCGGGCGGAGTTCTAGGCTCTGACGCCACAAAGTCCATCTCGGCCCGAAACAGGAGCGATACCCCGTTACCAGCTTCTCCGCGTTTTCCCCAGTCCCCGACAGCTTCAAACACCGACACCAGCGGCCAACTCGCAATGAGGCATGGAAACAAATGCCCCACAACAGCCTGTCGGCGCACAGGCGGCCACCAACCCGGATGAAGACGAAGCTTCAAAGATCAAAAGGACGCAGATCGCGTGCTTGAATTGTAGGAAGAGGAAGAGTCGGTGTTTGTTGTAAGTGGTTGACAGCCCTGTCGCATTCGCGCATTGAGACTGGCTTGAGCATCTGAGCATGCGCATGTATAGAATCCAGCGCAAATGATCTATACTACTGAAACTCACAAGTTGGCCTCGAATTACAATACAAACAGCTCAGCATACATGTTCGGGGACTGACACGTTACTACAGAGATTCAAACAACTCTATTCCGTGCCTTCGATGTAAGCGCGACAACCTCGAATGCGTGTTAGGCGGTAGCAATCGCGGCGGACGACGGGAGCGAAAAAAGAAACGCGTCGACGAATCGCAACCACAGCAGCAATCTGAGTCGCAGCCAGAAGCGCAACCGCAGCAGCCATTGCCGACGCTCCCGGCGAATGCGCCAGAAAGAAGCTTCCATACTCTGGGCAATCTTGGTACTACATGGTCGCAAGACACTGTTGAACCGCAATACGGGGAAGAACTTCAGGCCGCTCAGTCAGACTCGTCAAATACAGACGAACTTCCTTTCTCGAATCTCCAGAATCCATCTGATGCCCTAGGCATACTAGCCAGAGTTGCTGGGGAATCAAGCTCGAACGAAGAGAACAATGGAAACGGCAACGGCATTCCGCACGCCAGAGGATCATCTCTCAGCATGCCGGCTCCACCAATTTCCTTCTCCTATCCGTTGCTAGACCGGGGTATCCTTACCGTCCATTCACTTTCCCAGCTGCTTGTCCGCTTTCAACAGCAGTACCATCCCTTTTACCCTCTTGCTCCGGCCCATGCTTTTGAGACGTCTCGTCTCTCAGATCTGGTGACTAAAGAGCAGCATCTCCTTACTGCCATCCTCTTAATCGCCTCCAAAGATCTCGTCGACGAGCCGCACATATACGAAGCATGTTCCGAGCACATGAAGAATCTAGTTTCTGCACTCGCTGCAGGAGGCGATGCTGGTATTGAAGCAGTAGAGGCTCTCCTGCTACTAGCCGAATGGGCGCCATATACCCAACGCGGTTCTGGGAAAGTTGGCAAAGGCGAAGAAGACAAGGAAAGCTGGATGCATGTTGGCCTTGCTCTGAGAATTGCATACTTTCTCGCGCTGGATCGGTACTCGTTCCGTTTCGTGGACCAATACAAGGATGAGGATCACCATCGCAAGCGCCTCATATGGACAGCAGCATATGTTTCTGATCGCCATATCAGTATTAGGATCGGAAAAGCGTTCTGGTCTCGTGGTCCCGGACCTTTGACGACTTTGCGAAGAGAGGATTACCCCTCACTGATCCCTAAGAATCCCAATGAAGAAGACCACGCCTCCATCTTTCAAGCCAACCTGGAGCTTACACAGCTCTTCAGCAATGTGCATGATACGCTGTACTCGAATCCTAGTTCAAGTTTCCGCTCACAAATGAGCGGCAGCTACATCAAGTTTATTGACGATTTCCGATCAGCCATGTACGGCTGGAAGAGCGTGTGGGGCACCTTAACATGCTCACCACCTCTCAAAGCATGTCTACTGATGTCGTACGATTATCTGCGTTTGTACACCAACGCGTTTGCTTTTCAAGCTACTGTCCTTCGAGCCCTGCCCTCAACATCAGCATCTACAGACTCCCCAGCTGGTGCTCCAGCCAATACCGACATAGGCCGTATGCAAGCGCCCCAGCGCGTTTTCGTTAACAATGTAGGAGCTGTGGGCGATGCACGCTTCATTTATGAAGGTCTTGATTCTGCAAAGGCCATTCTCACTACAGTCAACAACTTTGTAGATCCTGAGCGCTCATTGCGGTTCATGCCACTTCGATACTATCTCTACCTGGTTTATGCAGGCGTCTTCCTCTATCGCGCTCGCTGTACTGGTGTCATCAGCGCAGACGAGGATCGTGCCATCCGCGCCATGATCAACGAAACGGTAGCTCGTCTCCAACGCAGTGCCGTTGGGTCCGGAAGCGGTATCCAGCACCCAGGTTCTCGTTATTCTCAGCTTCTCAAACTGCTCTGGGCCAAGGTACCGAAGAAGGATAAAGCAAATCGTTCAGCATTCCATCATCCTGGTACACATATTGCCAGCACACCAGTAGATCAGAATGGCTTCCCACAACATCCGGTCTTAGGTAATCAAACTAGTCCACAAGCCAGTAGTAATGGCACAGGTGGAAGTCCAGCAATTACAGAGCAGATGGGTGATTTTGGATGGACAGACTTGAGTGCTGTCAATGAATTCGCTGTACATGGCGGCGGAAACAATACGGCGGCTGATGATGCTGCGCTTTGGAATGGATTTCTCCCTCTTGATATGGGATGGAATGCTCAAGGATTCGGAATCGACGGAATAGTCGACTCTAATGAGCTAGGCATGCTGTTCTAATAATAGAGTGTGAAAATCCATGAGACTTGGATTACTGCTGGGTAGGCGCTTTTGGACTTCTTATGCTGTTTAACATGTTTGCTTGGAATTCTCGCATGCGCAAGGTGGAATAGAGAGGTAATGTCTGATATGAGCCGAGTATAAAAATACCATAATCATGAAATATGAACACCAGCAATTGATGTACTGTGAATACTTCACCGCGGAATATCCATATGTCAGAGCTGGGTCCTGAGGAACTAAGTTTGTGTGTTTTTGAGGTGGCAAGATCGTATACACTATAATCCCACCCCTCCACAGCGCCGTAAATGCAATCCGTATGGTAACAGTGAAATGTACAATCTTTTGCCATCTTTTGCCATGATGGCCATCTAGAAACCTGGAGGATTGAGTCGCTGACTGACCCTCGTCCACTTGGGAACCTCTGCAGATCGTCAGAATATATCCATAGGCGGCTTCCCATGCCCTTGATTAATCCTTCAAATGCGTCTGCAGCAAAATTGCATAGTGTATGCCACTTACTATGTATTCCCTTGCGATACCTCTTTACCTTCCGGTCAAAAACAGTGTACTTGTCTTTCGGGAGCATCTCCTCCTCAGTCGGCATCTCTGTCTTCCAGCGCTCCACCTTCTTCATGCTCTGGCCCATTCGTCGTAGTGCGGTATCGAGAGCGGAGACAACGGAGTCGACATGTCGCAGACGCTCACGATGGCGGTACTTTTGGTGCCTGGAGAGTCGCCATGGCACTTTCCTGTGTTCCACGTTAGTGTCTCGTCTCCGGGCACAATCTGTGAGAAATGGCAATAGTGAAGGCGGAAAAGATCGATAGTGGCGGGAGCGAGCGATTGCGCAGGCGAATTGATCGTGGAGAGACGCACCATAGCAGACCTCCCGACAGCGGATTTGTGAGGCGGAAGGGACCAAACATGTTGATGTGTTGGGGTTGAGAGGCCGGGCTTGCGCAATTGAAGTCGCGATATTCTGCGCAGACACTCCCGCGGACTTCTTGGCGAACATCCCGGTTAGCGTGGGGAAGCTCAGCACCACTTCGTTCCCCTTGTAACTTAACTCAGTCACCAACTTCACGAATTTACGAATCACGAACAACCAGAAGAGGGTTTTAATACACGACGGGAAAAGTGCTACTGGATCGTAAAACAGAACAATCCTATCAGGCAGCCAGCCTCTACACCAAGCGCATTCGTGCGCGCATCCATAACACTCCACCATGTCGTACACATTCTCAATACTCTCACCTCTTGACGTTCCCCTTTTTACCCACGACTTTGGCACATCGCGTAGCGGTGGAACTGGTGTTGCAAACTACACGCCAGGCGAACGCGCCCTTGTCCCATTCATTCTACACTCTGCGCTCGACATAGTCGAAGAAGTACAATGGGGTCCCTCCACGTCTAGCGGCTCCGCGCCAATGTACCTCAAGCACATCGACAAGTATCAGAACTGCTATGTGTCATGCTGGATAACAGGTGGAAATACACGCTTTCTGCTGTTGACGAGGCCACGCGATGAAAGCCTGGGGCTCACAAGTGGAGGCGCTGGGGGTGTCAGAGGAAGCTTGGCTGGTGGACGAGCAGCACTTGGTGGAGGTGCTGGACTGTACAACCCTAGTAGTCCCGCTACCGAGGAGGCAGTCAAGAACTTCATGGTCGATGTGTATGAGGCGTGGGTCAAGACTATTATGAACCCTTTTTTCGCGGTTGGAAATGGAGAGGTCATCAAGAGTCCAGTGTTCAGGCAAAGGGTTGCTACAGCAGCAAAGAAATATCTATGAAGAGGGAAGAGTGAAAGAGGAGACAAGAAATAAAAAAGACTTTTACTATGCTGTAAGCGCTCGCAACGCGTCTAGAGCGCGTAATAATTTAAGCAAGCGACCTTAACTCGAGATGGCATGTAAGGAAAATCTCGAGAATAAACTCGTAGAAGGTCGGAATTTACAGTATAATTGCTTAAGAAGCACGACGAAAAAGACACAGCAAGGCACCCACTGCGAAGATCCGTAGGTGTCATTGAGGGAAAAGCAATCTGTCTAATATGACTGCCGAGTCTGTCTGCATACGCTGGGAGAGCAAACTTCGGCAAAGTGGCTGTTCTCACATCCAGAGACTGGCATCTCGAACCTTTTAATAGAGCAAACCTGGCGATAATGTACCTAAATAGTTACTATTGCTGCTGCTGGACCTGAATACTTCCGCATAGGTGTTCTCACTTCATGATGCAACATATCTGTCAGAGGTCCTTCTCTTGCTTTCACATCACTAGCGCGAGAGCTGTTAGCGGGCTTTGCATAGTTAGCAAAACTAGATTCACAATTCACCTTCACCTCAACTTCACTCGCTTTTTTCCATCTACTCCTGTCTACTGCGATCAACTCTTTTACCCTATCTACCACTAACAACACTTACCTTCATTTCTATTTCTCTAGTCAATATGGCGCTAAACCTTACATCTTTAGATCCTAGAAACCTCGAGTGGGTTGCTCCTCGTGACAAGCAGATAGCTGAGTTACGAGAACTACAGAAAGGATTTGAAGCTGCGAAAGCTAAGTTCTTCAAGAAAATCGAGAAGAAGCGAGAAAATCTCATTGCTACGCATCAACGTGAGAAGGACGTCTTTTTGAACAAGGAGCAGGCAAACAGCCCAGGAGCTGCGCTGCTAAAGAAAAGTGGTGATAGAGCTAGGCAAACACTGGCGTTCACCTCCAAGGCTTCAACATACACAAGCACGCCTCAGGCATGCCCAGTTAAGCAGACTCCTCCATTCATCTATCTTTGCTCTGATGACGATGAGCCGGTCTTTCTAGAACAGAGGACCGCACTAGCATCATCACCTACTCCAGCACTGTTAAGAGACAGCTCTAAGGCATCTAAGGTACATAGATGGTTCTGCTGGAACTTTACTTCTTATGCACTAACGCTTCTAGTGTTCAGCAGAAACCTCAAAGCCTAGGCGTGGAGAAAACGTGCTGCCACAGTCACCGCATAACTTAGAAGAGCAACAGGGAGCTCGGAACGCTACTCTAAACAATACGGATGTTCCAACAGATCCAACAGAATGTAACACAACTCTACCACCACAAAGGGATGTTGAGATGCCAGATAGAGATAGGCCTCCAGCAGAGGCTGCTCAAGGCAAGTCACGACTTATTTCAGGGTTCAACTCGAAGCTAATATTCGCATAGCTTCGATACATATGAAGGAACAGAATACACCTAAGTCGCAGCAGTACATCAACAACGTGCTTCCACTACCGCAAAATAGCACTTCTTTACCACCATGCATCACCTCTAGAGCGCGAAAGTCAAATATCCCAGGCAACGCCTTCAAGAGACCTTTTGATCCAGCTATACGTAAATCTCTCACCCAACATAACAGCAATTTTCTAGCGAGCTCCCAGGTGCCGACATCTAGCGCATACCACTCAGATACTACACCAAGTCCGTGTGTTATCTCGGTCGCTTCTCAGACAAACGATTTACGTTCCTATTTCGCCAAGAGGGGCAAGAGAAAAGTAATTGACATCAGTAGTGACGAAGCTGGTGACGAAGATGGTGATGACGGCCCATCTTTTAACGATGAGTGGGCAGAAGAAGAAGAAAATCAGAGAACAAGAACTAACAGAGCAAAATGCATGCCTTCTTTGGTTTCTACCGCTACAAGTGGGCTATCTCGTACATAGAAGAATCGCTTTGGACAGATCAATCCGAAATCGAAAGTGAGAGCAACCAACGAAGCAGCATCGTTCCACCCTACATCATCATCACAAAAATCAAGCAGCACTACTCGGTCAGGTACATCAAAGCTCCTTGTTACTATATATCAGGATTTGACTAACCACATCGTTGCAGTTCCCACTCCAGCGGCCGCATCACTTTACTCCAACCGAAAGGCTAAGCTTGACGCGATCGAGAAGATAGCACAGATTAGTCAACAAAGCACAGAGTCCTTCACTAGAGAGGACGTTGATATGTTAGCGAACGACTCAGACGATGAGAGCGTCAGGGCTCCTGGGCGGCGCCGGATTGTCAAAGCTACAGTAGAGGAGAATGACATGAGCCCATGACATTTGGCGTCAGACTCCAGCAAACACAAAGTCATGAATGATGTCATATTTCCAACAGATGAGCAGTGTAGTAGCACAAAGCCTTGTATCGGGAGGAAAGAAAGCTGGCCTTGATATCTATGTGAAGAGAACAGACATTGATGGAGGTGGGACTTGTTTTTAGGCGTTACTTGAGTCTAAGGGATCTTAGAGCAACAGTACTCTCTCTCAACGCTTCGATACCAGTGGATTGTACACATCTTGTCTCTTCTAGCAACTACGTATCATCTGCAGCATCGAATACAGCGTACTTAGTCAGATGATATACATACAATTATCCGCACTGTCTATTCATTGGTCTCTCGTCGTATAGAAACTCATTGCACTTCCCAACATCGTCCATCACTGATCTACATCCGGAGTATAGCCGCCGTTTTCAACAGACGCAAACAGACACAGTTTCAACTACCGTCCACGGCACTCTATTCCAACCACTTACAAACCCTCAATATCAAACAGTAGACAGACCGTCGCTATCTCCCGACACACGTCAGATTGTGACGAGATAATCTCACACGAGCAGCTGACATGTACACACATTACAAAAGAAATCGAACACGACGAAGGCGAAAAAGTCTAGACAAAAACCACTGTCGATCGCAATACGAATCCTCAAACGCGTTCCTGTCCCCCATTCGTTGCCCTATTCTATCTCATCCACCATCCTTCTTGCATGTCAGCTCAGCTGAACTGTCTCCACACACACACACATGTATGTATGTAAACCCTTCGCCATGCAACCCGCAAAGAAAAGTCAGGCCGAGCACACATGTACCGTTCTGCGGTAAATCTAGTCTCGTATTCTGTATGTTAGGCCCCCATGTCATTTTACATAGTCCCGAAGAACTACCAAGCGTAGTGTATTATCACCCTACATTCTTTGGTGCCTACCCCCCCCCCCCCACCACACGCTCATGCGCCCTAGCAAATAGAAAAAGAGAGAGAGAAAAAAAGTAACTCCGCATTCTTTCTTGCACAATCTACCTCGCTCATAATGCAATCTTAGGGCTGTTACCCAAGCATCTATCTCACCGGGCCCGCTCTAGTGCGAGGAAAGTATGGTAAGCTAGTGTGGGAGAACTTCGGGCAATGCAGCCGTGGGGAAACATATGCCTCCCAGCCTTCTTATTTTCTTTTCTCTCGCTCTCTCTCTCTCCTATTTCACGTACCACCTACTACTTTCAGTTTGTATGTATTGTTTGTCCATTCCCAAACTCAACAAAAAAAACAATCGCGTTCGTATTCTGCCATCAAAGACGCGCCTCGACACGGGTTCTACTTTACTAGCGACGAGGCGGAAGCATGCATACGGAGGAATTGCCGCTTAGCGGGCAGTAGTAGATTGGTGCTAGAGCGCGTTGCGGCACTGCACGCACTAGGGGGTTTGCTGTTACGGGGTTGTGGACAAAAAGGACAAGGGTGTTGGGGTTGGGTGTGGGTGGGTGTGGGAAAACCGTTTTTTTCCTGCCTTTTGCGTAGCGAGCGGGCGCGCTAGGCAGCGGTTCGGCGATGGGGTCGCAAAGCAGCAACGCGTCATTGTCAAGGGTATGCAAATCTGTGTGTGTGCGCATACAAGACATGTGTGTGCGTGAGAGTGGGAACACGCATTGCTGTACTATACCGCGGAGCATTGTTCGGAGCGAATAAGAAGATGGGGAATTGAGTGGCCGAACGCTGGTTCTTCGGCGCAACTGTTTTCCTCGCCGACATGGCCCTTTTCTCTCTGGTCTCTCTTGCTTGGGCCCAGGTTCGCGGCACGCGGGTACTCCAAGTGCCGGTTCGGGATTGTGTTGCGTGCGCCGTCGGCATCGTATCATGTCTGAATCGCTAGTACGAGGCGAAGATCCTCTCTCTCAGCATACTTACGATGATACTAGTATCACGCGAGGTCGGTCGCGTCATGCTTCGCGTTTCATACCTAGCTAGGCACCAAGAACCACGCGATTAGGATAAGGAGAGAAGAGCAAGGAAGAGCCAAGCAAATCAGATAAAGCAGTTTTGAGCCAGATATGCGGAAGAGGAGCATATTCGTCAGCAATATCAAGTCCAGACCGAGAGAAACCTTACGCAGAGCTACCAATGGTTATTTCGCCGTAGTAGTGCGCAGTCTCGAGTCACTCACCCGTACATTAAATCCAAGCCGAGCAAAAAAAAGAAGAAAGATTAACCGTATCTATAGCAATTAGCCTTTCTCGCTTGTCGACAGACGAAAAAAACCGGTTTGATTTCAAAACCCAGTTAAACGGGGGGCAAAAGTGTGAGATGTGAAAGGAAAAACGCCAAACTAACCATACTATCCCCCTTCCCAAACTGCCATGAATCGCAACCCGAAAAAAGAGGCCAAAAAACTCAAGCGAAAAAGAAAAAGAAGAAAAAACAAGAAACTTTATCAGAAAAAGGAAGGAGAAAACTGACTCTTACCCATCCGCAATCCCTAGTCCCCATCCCAACTTTCCCCTTTTTTCTTTTCCCCCTCTTCGAAATCAATCCCGTGACGCCACTTTCTTCTCCCCCCAAGAATCCAAGGTTACCCCCGTCCACACCTAACGGTTCCGCTCACTCGTCCGCGTATATTCACACTTTTACACCCCAGCAATTCCAAATGAATTCCCCAAAGAAGAAGAAAGAAATTTAAAAAAAAAAGGCGATCTATGATGACGAAACCCTACGACCATTCCCTTCCTGCGTTCCGAGAAGAGGATAAAAAAACGGCTATTCGCATTCGCAATGTTGAATCCATGTCGACAGGGCGCTAGCGCTTATATGCGTAGTGGGGAGCGGGTGTGTGTGTGTGACGGTGAGAAAAGATAGGAACGGGAAAGATGATACCAGGGGCCAGGGGGGAGGGGGGGTTCCATTTGCTTTCTTACTTTCACTTTTGCTTTAGCTTTTTTTGCTCCCCAGTTTTTTTAAAAAAAAACTACTTTTACCTATTACCTGTCTCCTAAACGCCCAAAGTCCCCATGTACACACACACATATATATATATATATATCTATTTCCAAGGTAATTTGCAAAAAAGTTAGAGTAGTATTGGCCTTGTATGCAATATATGTGCAAAGCAAAACCAATTCGTATGGGAAGGGAAAGGGCAAAGTCGACTCGACAAGCAGGTAACCCGCACCCTAGTACAAGGGTTCCTTCCCCCACCCCTTGCCTTGCCTTCCCCTTCCCCTTCCCGGCGCCCTTCCCCCCCTCTCTCTCTGCTGTATGCAAAGCTCCACGCGGCAAAGCCGGTTGGCGGGGAAGGGATCACCCTTGCCTCTCTTTTCGGCGGCCGCTTTTTTGTGAACACTGCGGCATGGGCGGTCAGGGTAGATAAGTAAAGTAAGAAATATACAGACTTGAGGTATAATTACAAGCAATGAATGTATGTAACTTATGTAAAATTGAGACGGGGGAGGGGTGATAATGCAGTGGATGTGCGTTTGCATTGGTGCGTCCGTCTTTCATGCTCATGTCAGATACTAAACGGTTCGTTCGTGTACGAAATCACTCTATTTTGGCAAACTTCCTTATCCCTTTGCCCTATGCTCCTTTCATTTTAGTTTGGAGTGGATTAAAGAAAAAGTCAGGCCATCCGGTAAGATGGACTGGCAAGATGCATGAAGCCGAAAGTCTGGGGGATGCATGCTTATCTCAGAGGTTAATGGCGAGGGCACCACTTGGTTAAAAACTTATTTTTTCCGAGTTGACGGGTCGATTGTCGTGTGATAGGGATCTTGGGCTGAAGAGAACAAGGGGAAAGGGAAAGAAGAGGAGGCTGAACTGAAGGATCATTCTTTTTTGTTTTTGTTTTATTTATTTTTTCATTTCAACAAAACACGTCTATTATATTTACTTTGATACCAGTACCATTTATCAACTCATAAGATCTACAGTATATTCCAATAAAAAACAATTGCAGTGCAAACATACATGCCAGAAAGAACAGAAAGTCGTAACCTGTAAAAACTCCTATCTCGGACGCTTCGAGTCATGCTTTTCCAATGCTTTCCGTTAATCCCGTTTTTTATACCATGAGCGCCGACGAGATTGGTATGCACAAAGAACATGCATTGTTGCCCGGCAAACAGTATGTAAATGAGAACAGAGATGAAGAGACAGACTGGGATGTCGCAAGAGGTCATAACTTGCAGACGGGTATCAAAAGCACTGCTCGACTATGACAAGCGACGGTGCAAACAGGATGCTCGAAAAGGAAACAGACGTTGGCAGACAGCTGACAGCGGTCTGAAACCTAAAGCAGCTGATGTGAAACTTGGTTGGGGATAACGGCCGGGCTAATCATGAAGGATTCAATACAGGGTCGAAAAATGTGGTTGACCCCGGTCGTTCGTAGGGGCTCCCTGCAAGTGCCGAAAAGTGGGTCAGAAGGGCGGCTGCTTGCAACCAGGGCATCAATTTCGGTGATGCGGCCGGAGACTTCTTAAGGAGAGCCCTCGCGCCTCGATTTCTTGACCCTCTCGATTCTTTCGTTCCAACGTCTTTTTCCGACGCGGGTCTCAAAGTGCGGAGCTACTTGGGCCACATCCTGGCCTTGACCCATCATGCTGCTTCTCATCTTATTGCGGTAAGCATCAACTATCACAGGTTAGTACATCCGTCTCTTGAATACATGGGTCGCGACTTGGTTACTTACGAGACTTTTGTAGGAACAATGTCCTTCCAGCGAAGACACGACTTTGGCTCCAGCTCATGCGGTATCCAAGGTCATTGAGAGTGATTTCCTTGGATCGCTTCGAACGAGTAAGCCGCGGCTTCGGGACACGCGCCTCGCCATCGAGCGTTGGCACTGGGACAATGGTAGAACCGGCCAAAGGAAAGCTGGGGTCGTCCTCGACATCAGGCTCATCGGCAAATACCTTGCTGCCACGGGGGCTTGCAGGCGGTGATGTCATTTGCATAGCGAAGTAGCTGCGCGGGAAGACGGAGTTAGACTTGCGGTAAGAGTCTGGCATCTCTTCCATCTTGACTGTGTCAAGAGTAACTCGCACGCGCACTCTAGTTCCGCGCTGCGCGTCGTCAACGAGAATAAATTTGCGACGCTTGGAGTCAGGTAGGTCGCCAAAAATGGCTAGTTTGCGTTCTTCTTCGCCTTGCTCCTGCTGTTTTGAGACCGCTACACCTGCCGCATGAGGTGGAGGCGGGGGGTGACTTAATCCGTCGTGAATTGGCGGCATACCACCCGTTCCCGCAGTGGAATCGCTGCCAGGGAAGTTGGGGTAGAAATTCTGCGTTGTGCGCACATCCTGGGGCGATTGTTGACCATTTGGCGCTTGGTGGTGATGAGTGTGTGATTCACCGTATTCATTGGCTGTACACAAAGAAAGTTAGCTTGCACGTCCGAACAAAAAGGTCATACTTTTTTCCAAAATCATCCCGCGCAGAACAAAACAACAACCATATGTGACTATGTGCGTGTGGGTATATGCATACATGCATGGGGTAGGTAGGTAGTATCGAAAGGGGTATTACATCAAAGAGTGTAATAATGTACATGCAGTGAAAGAACGACAAGAGGTATCATTTAACAACCAACAACAATTACGCTTTATCACATCACATCTGGTGAAACATACCGCTAACATCATCCGGTCCTCCGTGAGGCCCTCCTGGCCCATCATGGTGATGATGCATCTGGGGACCACCCATGCCCATATTCGGTCGGGGTGGTGCAGTTAGTCCGGCAGAGTTGGGAACCCCAGGCGCACCTGGTCCACCTGGTCCAGCCATGTGGTTACCATGTGTAGCCGATTGGGCTTTCCTCGTGGTCATCTTGGCCATTCTGCGCACGCGACGACTCCTCAGTCGCGGATCCTGGTTGCTGTTCCGCCAGCTGTCGACGGCGCGTTGAATGAGACCACGCTTTCCGCGCAGGCAGGGGTTGAGTTGTGCAAGAGCCCAGCCAACAGTGTTGCACTCAGTCTCGTAGTGGAGACGGTTACCCTTGTACTGGTCCTTGGCACAGCAGGCGCGTGGGTATACACAGTTCTCAGTCTTGAAATCTTGGGGAAGCTCGTCAACATTGACAGACTCGACGTCACAGCGGATCGTGTACTCCATCTTGACCCTATCGCGCGAGTACTCAAAGGCAATCCATTGAACGCCATTTTGGTCTTGTCGAACAACCAAGGGAGTGGTTGCAGGAATGGGACCAGGCGCAGCGTTGGGGTTAACGTTGGGTCCTCCTGGAGGACCTGGATGCATGTTTGGCGTACCAACAGGAGGCCCTTGAGGTGTGGTTTGAGGCGGGCCTCCCAGTCCTGATGGCGGCCTTTGGAGCGGCGTCTGTGACATTCGTGGCTTTGGGCTTCCAGTCATTCCTGGGGTCTGTGGGTGATGCGGGTGTTGATGCTGCATCTGCTGGTTTTGCTGATGAGACATGAGCAGAGACTGTGAGGCCATTGGTTGCTGAGGCGCGCTTGAAGGGTGCTGTTGGTAAGGTGACTGTTGGGGTACTGGCGCAGATGCATATGGAGTGTAGTACATGGACTGAGGCATCTGACTAGGCGGTTGCCCGTAGATGGGCCTGCCATGCTGGTCATGCTGAGGGGATTGAACAGAAGCTGGCGAGTTTGACTGTGGGGTGTGATATGAGATCGGTGGATATCCGCCCCGATTCATCGTTGCAGCCGCCATGAGCTCTGGGGTTTCTGGAGCAAAAGTCAGGTCAACGCGTTCATTTTGATGGAATATACAACGGGGGGCATCCAGGTCTAATCGTCATAAAGGCGGCACTTGCGCGCACGCGTGGCGCGCATTGACAGGGAAGGTCTGAGCTGAAGGATCAGAAAAGAAGCAAAACCAACATACCTGACGAAGAATAGTTGCTGGGCGCACTGTTGGTGCTGTAGGGGCTGGGGTGGTGCTGCGAGTAATAGGGGACCTCCTGCTGCTGCTGCTGCTGCTGCTGTTGCTGGGGAGGCTGGGGCTGTGGTGGAGGAGGTGGCGGTGGCCCTTGCTGGCTTTGGATCTGCTGAATGTAGGGCGACTGGTGCTGAGGAGGTCCTTGTGGGGTTGGGTGCTGGGGCGATGGGTAATGTGCCTGTGCCGGGCTCTGTGACGGGACCGACTGGTGGGGAGAGTCGGGGTGGTGTTGCTGGTGCTGGTGGACAACGCCGGGCCTGGGATGGTGCACCGGTAGATGATTTGGCGGTGGCAAGCCCTGCGCAGAGTGTGGGTGATGCTGAAAACACGGACCAGGTCAGTAAGGCTGCAGGTGCAGAATGAGAAAAAAAAGAATTGAGCGAAAAAGCAAGTGGTAAGAGGTAGCAGAAGAAAGGGCGAGGTGGGCAAACGAAAGCCCGTATGGTGGTGATGATGATCAGTGCAGGGAGTGGCAGCAGGTAGAAGCTTGGTGGGGGCAGGTGGGGAGGCTGTGGTTGGTTGGTAGACTAGGATGTAAGGGCAGTGATGTGCTGCAACAGGACCTAGGCGAGGGGCAGGGTCTGGAAAAAAGACAGGAGGGTAGGGTATAGTTTATAGGATGGGAAGGGCAGGCTAATGAAGGCAGGGCGGTCTTTTGGCAAGCTTGACAAGACAGCGCAGAGGAGCGGTGGGCAGCGTAGGGCTACACTATGGAGGCCGGGGTGCCGCTGCTGGCCGTTGCGTGACAAGAGGCGGCGGACTGGCTTCAGAAGAGGCCAGGACAGCGACAGTGATGGTGACAGGGGAGGGGGGAGTTTGGGTAGTAGCAGGGCAGCTTGGCGGGAAGGGCGTACCATGTAGGCGAGCAGAGGCGCCGGTGCTGGGGGTGGGTGTTTGTGTGGACGCGGCGTGCAGTGGCTGCTGCAGGATGCAAAGGGCGAGGATGAAGCTGCCAACGGCGGCGAGGGTTTTAGGGACGCGGCTTCAGACGCGCTGGTCGAAACACCAACGGTCGAGGGTGCAGAGGGCGCGACGGGGTTGCAGTTGGAAGCGAGAGCGAGGGCGTGGATGGGATGCGGGAGCGAGGGTGGTGCGGTAGGGGTGGACAAGGAGCAAGAGTCGACTCACCATCTTCTGCGACGCTACAGGCGCCTGGTCTTCCTTATAGTTGCGGGCCCTATCTGGGATTTTTGGCTGCGACATTGTTATGATTGCGCGGTGGGAGTCGACGTCGAAGGATCCGGGCAGCGAGGGTCCGGGCGCTGGTGCGATGGACGAGGATTGCGAAGAGATGCAGTAGCGTGGCCTGCGCAATTTCAGGCGCAGAGCAGGCGGCGCTAGCGACGGCTAGGGAATGGGAGCGAGGCCCAGGGCAGGCAGCGTGTGAGAGAGTGCGAAGGCGGTGGGGCGGCCGCGGTGGAGACGGTCGTTAAATCAACTTGGAACAGCTAACACGGCTCCCGACGCCGGCCCTGTCCCTGGTCTGCTGCACGCTCGGACACAGTCCTGTTTCGAGCGGCCTGCCCGGCTCTGCCATCAGGGATCGCCGCCGAATGCTGCGCCAAAGGGCCTGCTGCTGCTGCGTATACTCCTGCTCCCGTCCTTTGCCTCGCTTTGTCTGTGTGCGCCGACGGTCGCGCCCTCCGACTGCCCTCACGTGACCCATTCACTGCCATTTCTTAGCTCTTCCTACTTACTACCTAGTACGACGCGTCTCAAGTGGTCGTGGCGGCCGCGCCTGCACGAGTGGGGAAGACGCCGGCGGCCATGGGGCGGTCAAGGCAAGCGCAGCTTCTATTTTCAAACTCTGCCTAGTGCCTTTGCCTGCTGCCCACGCCGGCGTATGCCAAACCACCACACACGCCCTCACCCACGCCCGCCGCCTCTTCCTGTCCTGTCCTGTCTTGTCTTGTCGTGTCAAATCATAATTTCATCGCTCCATTCCCTTCTGTCCGCACCCGTCTTTTGGTCGGGTCTTGTCTTGCCAAGCACGCGCACCTGTGCCGCACACGCACACACACACACACAGAGAGAGAGACTAAGACTGCTTTCTACTAACATTACTACACACACACGTCTAGCCTGCCTGCCTGCCTGCTGCCTGCCGTCATGGGTCGTGCCTGCCCCCCTCCCCCCTGTCGCTCGGCTAAATCCTTCAAGATGGGCAGTCGCGACCCCACGGTACTTCCCTTGCTCCCATGGCCGCTGTAGTAAGTAAGTATCCTAGTACCCCAGTACCATAGCATGCTGGCCCCGGTCCTGCTATAGCAATGCACCATGCGACCTTCATTTCGCCCCTGCAGCCTGTACTCACAATCCTCGCCCTCAGATCACAGCTCGCACCCGTCGCGGCCCTATCGGACGCGTCACTGACCCATTCTCCCACAGTTTTGCCGCGTGCTGTGTGTGGTGTGTGTGTGCGCCCTGCCCTCGAGTCCAATTCACCGCCGCTAGTCGACCGTTTGAGCAGTTGCACCACTCCGCCGCCCCGCCCTCTGCTCCGCCATTGGCCGCCGCTGCCGGTGAGGGCAGAAAAACACTCGCTCCCAACGTCGCGTACGGCGACTGGCCGATGCACGCCCGCATCCACCAACCGCCGTGTACCGCACTCGAGATCGGCCACGCGATGCTCGTCACGGCAATGCTTCTCGGGAGCAGCGTCATGGGCGGCCTGGTCCAATCGCCGCCGATCTGCCCTGGGACGTTGCATCTTACTCCTGCTCCCTCTGCGGAACCATGACACCGAACACAAACATCTGACCTCAGGGGCGTGGCCGCATCGTCTTCGGCCCATCTTCATGCCTGCCCCCGTCAGCCCTGTCCGCCATCCGCAAATGCCCGGTCATGCGGCTATGGGCACCAAGTACGCAGAATTGCCTGTTACGGGCCTGGGTCGATGCGTCTATAATAAGTTAAATGACAATTTATGCTCAGCGCGCGCACTACGCCTCAAGAAACGTTACTGCAACAATGGGGGCGAATAGCCGCCGAAGCCCATCGTAAGAGCAATTCCGTTCTGCTGCACCGCTCGAGCCGACCCCAAAAGCCCGTCTCGGTGCATTAACTGCTTCGTCTCCCTATTTTCCCTGATTGCACATCTCAAGCCTGCTTTTTATTTTTCTGGCCTAGAGACGTACTGGTGCTGACGGCGCCATGTACGCATGTAGTTACCTACATACAAACAAAGCAATGCGCTGCATCCAGGGCCGACCCTCCTTCACCGTCGTTGTGTTTTTGTGCTTGACAGGCTTCGAGAACGGCTTCCATGGTAAACACTGCGCGCGCCGTCCCATGTCGTGAGCAACCCCTCCCTGTCGCGATCGCGGACATGGGACCTGGGTTCGTAAATGTTCCGAGCGAGGCGTTCGCAGTGCGGAGAAACCCTGGGAGCATGCTTGCTGGCCTTGCTCATGACCAGGGAGATAGGTCAGGTACCGAGCGACCATCAACTCTATTCCAACGCCGCTCCAAACTTGTTTGTCGGGCACTACACAATACCACTGCACCGCCGGTGCACACGGCCGGCGCACGCGGCTGCGTATGCGCTCGATCCGAAGCGTCAACCTGATGCCGTCTTGCGTATTCTACACTCGACGATAATTACCCTCACCTTGTGCACGCCCGAATCTTCCTGAACGCACTCAACACTTGGTCCGCCACGGCGCCTCTCGACGCATTGACGGCCGGCCATGCCTGCAGTAGTCGCGCAACATCTGGCAGGTCCAGTGTCGATCTTGTAAGCGACCTTTTTGCGCACGCATGCCGTGTTACATCGGCTTTCTGTTCATAGTCCATTTGCGACGGTTGGTCGTCGCTGTTCCTCCACACTGTAGCGCAAGCCCATGGCCTGACGGGCGACGTGCATGTCCGGGGCCCATCAGCTGGTTTGGCCCGTCGAGCGACTCGTGCACATCGCTTGCTCCCCTGTCCCACCGCATCCTCGAATCCTGCTTGTGTGACGTTTGCGAGAACGCTCGCTCGCACTCGCTAGCTGCCAGCCTGGTCTTTGTCCAATGCCCGTCGTTGGGAGGCTCGGCTGGCCGTTGCCGTGCGGATACATGGCTGACAGGCCATGGGCACGCTTGATCATACCTGACTCTGGTCGTGGCCGTTGTTCACCCGCGGGAAGCAGGGGTGCAGGCCTGCTCAATAACGGTCGACGATCACAATGGACAAGCTGTGCGATACTGCCGCACATGGATCCGACTCGTCCCGTTGGCCTCCTGTCTAGCGCAAAAAAGGCTGAGAAAAATCGCTACACACACCAACACACACCACCACCACCCCCCGCTGCGCCAACCGCATTCCCCGATTCGCCTTACCTACATACTTACATAAGTACATATGTACTATGTGTGTCTCCGGATTGCACGGTATCCTTTAGACCTGCCTTATCTGTCGTTTCTTGAAAACCCAAAACCAAGGCTATCGCCCCAGCCGCAGTGTATACATATCGGGAGATTTACTGCTTATCGAGCAAAAAACGCTAGACTCGGTCCATCAGGCAAATGATCGACACGTATGTAAGCTCATCGTCACAACAATGTTTGCAATAATGCGATCCAGTGACGGGAGATTTCTGCCCATAGACACCGTCGCGTAAACAAGGATAGTTAGTAGTAGGCCATGGTGAGAAATCTAGGCCTCTGTCGCTTCATTATACTTGCACCAGCAGACACGAATGAACAGTGACGGCGCGACAACTCTTCACAACCACGTTGGAAAAAAAAGAACAGCTTGACAACTAATCTTGGTAACGCAAAACCCCAAGCCACGAACCTGGAGCGAAGATCCCCTGGGCCCCTCGACCTTGCTTCCCGCTGCTTCCCCTTGAGGGTTGTTGCCATTGCAGCCTGGGAGGGTGTCCGATCCCCCAACTTCTAGGACTAGTCGTACTGACCGGGGTGCTTGTTTCGCATGGGAATGCCGAATACGATGCTCAGCGTATTACAATATGTCAATACGTAGGTAGGTATGTCATTGTGTGTGTAGATATATACTCAGTATGTACATGCGTAATCAGATGAAGAGGTCATGACACGACCTCCAATTTCGCGGGCCATGTGCGAAATGGACTAGACCTTCATTCTGCTTTGAAATGGCCATGCCTCCAGCCGAATTTTCAGTTGCGAACGTTACTGCATAAGCGGCATTTCTGACAGGCAGCGCCACGCGGTTGATTGGCTCGACATATGCCGGCTTTAATCATGAGACGAAGTGGACCGCACCATCCCAGCCGATATGTCAGACTTGCGACAAGGTCATGCTGGTCTCCCGCACATACCCTGTGCATACCACGCCGGCAGACGCCACGGATTCGAACGGACACTTGGTGGCAGTGGGAAGATTTGGCCATGGGCTGATTGCTGCAGCAAGTCATCGACGAGGCCAAGTAGTCCTTTCAATGATGTCAATAAGCGCTAGCTGCCGAGTCGTTGCAGCAGGCTGCGACAACAGGATCTGGCCCGCCTTGGCCCACCAGCCATCTAGACCCATCCCTGCGCATCCTTCTCCCATCGCACTCGCTCTGCTGCGATATTCCTTGCAGATTTCTACATGGACGCTACAAATGCTTTATAAAAATGGTAGGAAGATATACTACCTGCCCAGCGTACGGCAGTAGACGAGGCTGGGCACCATAACCAATCACAATGATTAGTAGCTACTAATCTTCTGACGATTAATACCGGAGCGTATATTAGAAACTCGTCGCGTCGTGATTAGTCGTACGCCATTGACTGGATACTGAACTCGCGCATCTTTCACATGTTACACCCACACCATTGGAAACTGCGATACGGCCCTCCTTTTCTTTTGGCTGCCTATCACGCCCTCTACTCTGGCTTTGGGCGAGAAGATGGCAATGCGCTACGGCCACTGGTCAGGATATTGTTGTTTCTTTTCTCACAATGTCCCTCTACACCGCATGACATGCGCCCCTCCTCCTGCCTGATCCTGCAAGAAGCAATTCATCGGATGCGTCGCATGGCTGATTCGAACCACATTATATTCGGGCCTTTTGATGAAAGCAGCGCGCTCTCCGCAAACAATGCCTAAATCAAGTTGACATCATATTGTCTTCGTCCTGGACTCCGAACGGTGCTGGTGACTGGTCTTTGCCTGCGTTTCACGATACTAGCGGCCTTCTGGCAGCCTTCTAGAATGCGTCCTTAGTAATTGTACTCGCCCTTGTCTACTTACGCGCTGCTCGAGTCGCTTGCGTTGCTCGAGTCGAGTAACCTCGCGCAACAGCCTCAATCTCCTCCCTTTTCCGTTTCAAACTACGGCAGACCATGTCATCATCCCGTCCTTGGCGAATTACCTTATCTGGGTAGTATCGCGAGTCGCGACATCTAAACGTACATGTAAACGGGATCAGACCAATATATCCTCAGGCCAGCACTAGCTATCGCGCGGCCTGTGCAAAAGGACAAAGCGCTATAGTTGATGCTCCTGCAAGAGCACACGTATCGCTTGGACCGCTTTCTACTTGGAGCGCTGGTCGCGACTACCGCACTCTATGCCCAACGCGTATAGCATGTAACAATACACCAAGCGAATCAAATGGGGGCAACGCAAGTCACTCCACAACACCTCCGAAACTTATTTCAGGTGGCTGGGAGATTGTGATTCCAAATTTTTTTTTACACTCCCTTCAACTCTGTTTCTTGCCACAATGCTGAGACTGTTGCATCCTCAGGATATGCAAAGATAGGCTCATCCAATGGTTGCGCATAGTCGCAAAAGTACGCGATACATTAGATGAATCGGACGACACCAAGCCTCGCGGAGGGCTATTTTTAAGGTTTCACCAAACGTTGACTGACATGTCGGAGAACGTTCTCAAACTTGCGTTTCACGATCGGGGAATGCATTGCCAGCCTAAGCAAAAAATCGCCTGACCCTCTGAAGAAAACAGCTTAGTGGTGGAAACTGGGATATTGCTGGTAGCAGCCCGGTATAGGTGACCTGGAACTTTGCTCGACTGGGTTCCCCTAACTATGTACAGGATCGAAAATCGCCCGATCTTTACTTCCGTCTGTACGAGAATCCCGTTGGGTATTCATCGGAAGTCACAACTGTCGTGTCCAACTGTATACAGGGTTGTTCCCCGGATGCGCGTCAAAAGACTTGAAGTAAATCTCGAGCGTGGTGCAATCATGGTCCCAAACAGAAGCAGACATAGATGCGCGTGACCTTTTTCATCCTGACGTGCTGTATGAACGGCTCGGTGAAAAGGGCATTTGGCAACGCGCGACAGTGACATATTCTTGGGGCTGTGAGGACTGCCTCCACGCGTAGCCTGTTAGGCTTCGAGGAACGTTGCTCCGTCTGCTCCATTCTCTTACACCTCAGGTGCCGAGACAAGATTATCATTAGGGCATTCGTGTCCATTTCTCAATGTACCCAGACCCTTCCATCTCCCCCGTCTCGAGTGTCCACAAAAACTAAACAGTCTCAACAGCATGATGGCTTTTAGATATGCAACGGTTCAACTCTAGTCTACGATCGACCCTTGTTGTCGGGTATACCAGTATGTGATAATTACCCAAAGCTGATTGTTTTTACCCTTTTCTTTTCTTTTCGCTTCCGCTCCCACCTGATATCCTTTACTATCTGCCCAGCCAAATGTACGCGTCACAACCCCCGCTCAAGTCGGCCCAGCCCGATTACGCGGAACTGAGTTTTACCAAGAAGATCAGCAAATCTGATGCTGTCATTCGGCCCTGCCGTGCAGTTCCGACGAGAGAGTCCTTGCGCCTGGACCCACTGTAAGATGTTAAGGATAGAACAGAGATAGAGAGAAAGAGAACGCGAAGGAAAAACAAGTGAAGCGAATGACACGCAAGTGTGCGGGGAAAGGACGACATGACTTGGACAATCTACGCGCAA